GGCTACACGAGGTAGGCATAGCAAGGTAGATGTTAGAGAAGACTACCCCAACGTAATGGTTCTGTTGGCCTGGCCCCTGACTCCCTACCTCCTGATGACTACCTCTATTAGAGTCTTAGCTGGATATTTAAGTCTAACATGAAGAGAAACTTGACGAGCCATTATGATTTTAATGACGCTATAAGAAGTTGAGTTAAGGACAAATGCCTTGGAAGAGATGAAGTACATAATCTAGAGTAGGGAGACTGACACCTCGTAACGTCAGTATGCTTGATGGGTAAGGGGGACTTTCTGTTAGTGTTCACAGCATCTGCATATAACAACCGTCATGACTCCCTGGTATTTTCCTATTCCTGATAATGACAGCACTGGTTATAGCAACAACCAATATCTATGCACTTCCCAGAATAGCTTCTTGCTGGCCCCCAACTCCCTTCAACACCATTCGCTGAATCGCTATTGCGAGACAAAATGTCTTGCATGCACAAGGGTAGTCCTGAAGAATGTTAATAAGCAGTTCAAGATACACGATTGGTCGGTCGGCTTGTTGGCCGTCAGATAGCGGGACTGGGGAAATTTATGCCATCGTGATTGGGCGCCGTCTGGGCAAGGGTTGTAAAATCCCGGTACAATATGGACTTTCGGGCCGCCGTAGACGAACTGGTAATGAGCTCTGTTATAAGGCTGCTAGAGAGGTTACTTCGTACCAAGCCTCTCCCGCCCGGTAACGCTTCCCGAAGTACATGTACTGTGTGTTACGATGTTACCCAAGTACCGCTATGTGCTGCCAGGGGTCCCTTGTCTCTCCCCAGCCATTCCCCATCTGGGGTTTAAGTGTTGCACAGCGGAAATTCCCGTGCGGGGGAGAGGAGAAGGAAATCATTTTTTTTTCTTTTTTTCTATGGTATTTCCGGGGTCAGCGCGATTAGAGGGAGGGGGTTCGAACTGAAAAAAATGACTGCCAGAGTGAAGAAACAAGACTCCATCTCGCTAGAGTCTTCTTTCCTGACGCTCGTGGTCAGAAGACTACTCGCTTGTCAAGGCAAAACAACTTGGCAGCAGTGCCGATGTATGTTAGGTAAGTAGATCTACGATAACCCCTCTCCAAGGACACCCTCGTTGTGTTGGAGAACATCACGATATGTATGTAGGTGATGGAGGGTTGGCAAGAGAGGAGATCACCAGGAGATGAGAGATGCGGGGTAAGGGTCTAGGAGATCGTCGACGAGGATGTCAATCTATGACCCCATTATTCCCTTCTGTTCATCTTCTCCCTCTTTTTCAATATCCTCTATCAATCTACTCCCAGTCTAAGACGTTATCATACGTCAAGGCAGTTGCGACTACTCTATTCCTACCTCCATCAGGATTCCTCGTTCCACAGTTCCTGTCATCGAGTACATCTACCGACTGCTGTGTCGCGCGAGATTGCAGCGGCAGTCGACATGATGCCAAGTTTACAGACCGGCGGGCAGGGTTGAGAGGTCGCAGGTGCCCGTCCGATGAGAGCCTTCGCTGAAGTGCAACTGGGCTTCCAACGGTGCGTCACCATGGCAGGGACCTGCGCTAGATTGAGATTCGAGCTTATCATCTCTCAACTTCCAAGCCTGGGTACCTTAGGTACCTAAGGTAATCTAGCCCGCTCGCGATCGATTCGCCACCGCCGTCACATATTTACCTAAATTACATACGTCTGCATTCTACAACGTGACCTGTCTTCAATCTTATGATGACTTCGGGTCTCGATGGGCCTTGGCATATACCCGGAGCTTAAAAAGGATTTATAGGACACCATGAGAAGACTTCATTGCCATCGCGGTGGCACGAATGAAAGGGCACTTTGGAACCTCATGCGATTGTCAACAGGGGTTATAGCAAGTTGGTGTCGTTAAGGACCAATCGCCACTACACATTCGAACCGTGTTTCGTGTGACTTCAGGGCTGATCGATGGTTGTAATGATGCCTGGTAGCAATTCTTTATCGCATGATGATAATGATATAGCCCCCTCGTCTCTAGTGCATACTTTCTAACCTAGTGAATACATTCGAGAACTATGTACAGAAAGGTCTTGCAGTAAGGTCCTCAGCTAGTCCCCTCTTCTTGTCCACTTTGTCTCTTTCGGGAAGCGCATAGTTTAGAAAGAGACAAGTGAAATAGACTACGTTGGTTTAGTTTAGCTTGACTACCGTAACTGTGCCTCGCCCTCGCAGCAAATATGCCGCCGACTACGTAGCGAAGCTAGATACTAGTCTAGCATACACTGTCTCGTGATTCAATTGAGTAGTACATGGTGTAGCTCGAGGGGCTTTGGACTCCGTATCCTTGCTATGTGTATACATAGGAGGTCTAACCAAATGTAAGTGCAAACATATCATAATCGTCACGATCGTAATAACGAACGGTTAAGCATCCTTCGCGGCCTCACCGAGGATCCGAGGAATCAACTAAGTGGACCGGTGATAGCAGCAGTTGGATGGTTTTCAGGGTTTCGACCTTGGGTCGCCAAGAACCTGGCCCAAAGTCGAGCTACTCGAGCCGTGTTTTACTGCAACGTCGAGTTACAGCGTCGAGGATAAAAGCGAAACCCTGATTTCTCTTACTTGTACGGATTACAAGCTTTCTTGATGTCTATGTAAAGAAGTCTGGGGTCCCTGCTTGTGCGCTGCGATGAATGTCACAGCTGGATAACCTGTTTTCTAGAAAAAAAACTCTTTTGTTCTTGCTATAGTAGCATTCCAGACCGTCTCTATGTACGAACACGTCGTTCCCAACTGTTTTTGTCGCTGCACAACTAAAGAAACTTTTAGTCAATTGCTAGTGATTCATGGGTCTAGGTTAGATGTTCGAGATTTGGAGTTAAGAAACCGGGGTTAAGAGTTCTCCAACGTTGAAGCTTTTGATTCTTGCGGTCTGTCTGGATCTTCGGAAAATCATCCCCTTCGCTGGGACTGCGATCCATGCCGGCGTTCCCTCACGTACTTCATAGGTGTGTGTCTCTCGGCCTAGGAGGTAACATGACGATAAGTCGGGTGACGATCATGATCTCAGAAGATCTCGAATTGATACGATAAGCTCCCACTGACGTTGACAATTTCGGTAAAAAGCTTTTCTGTAAATTTCTCCGGTGTGTGTCTGAGTGAAACCGTTCCATTCTGGCTTGATGATAGAATTTTCCGCCAACGGCCTCAAGCAATGAACAGTCGTCTCGAAGCAAGCACTTCCAACTACATGCCAAGAATCCTAGTTGTGTAGCATACGATCTACTCAGTGGTCGTTTTCCGTGTTACCACGGCTTGCTCCTGCAGGTGGTTGATATGTAGTAGGGCTTGACAACTTGTAAGTCTTCCCCAAATGTCTTGGCAGCATCCTTATATGTATACCATCAATGTCAAGCTAACTCAATCAGCTCAACGTTGTATCTCTCGGACTCCATCGGCATTCACGCATCCACTGCCGCCGGCTGGTAGGCTAGACTGCCACATCGCCTACTGCAAGTCCGGCGTACCTGCGTCGCCGATCCCGGACCGTCAGACCTTAGCGATGCCGCCTATAGGAAGGAATACTTAGGGAGCATTGCTGGTCTCCCCACATCGGCCGTGCATTAGGCCGTTTATAATAGGACGCAAGCTGCATAGGTGATGGCCCGTTAGTGTGGTTCCCTCTCCAGGGACGGCCGCGTTGCCCGCTTTGGGAAACCTGCCCCGGGCGGGATATCGGGATCGTGAACTCTTTGCCGTGCTGGCTGATCGGACTGAGCTCGCTAGGTACCGGCGGCGATCAGGTCCCACGTTTCCGCCGGCTTTCTAAAATTAAGAAGGCAACGTCACCGGCTCGCGAGACCCGGTGATCTGGTCCTAGACTATTAATGGTTTCAGGGGTTGCCTTCTGCATGTTGCCATCTGTGTGGACTAGATGATTATCAGATGTTCCCGCCTGTTTAGCGTTTAACTAGGTAATTTATAGTACACGTGGTTTTTATTTGCGTGGTGACGAGGGTGGGTTGAGGAGTCAGTGTTACCTGGAAACTGGAGTTGTCTCTTCAGGATGCAGCGTACTCTTAGAGCATCCAAAGCTTGGACTAGCTAACAGTGTATCGAATTGTCTACACGCCCCTAGATTTTTGGCATATTGATAAAATTTACTGTCTTTCCGGAGTGTTTACCTAATCAAAGTATAGAGTTAGATTCGACTAGTAAAGAGTTGCAATACGTCTTTGTAGCCCCATATATTATGTACTCAAAGTTATAGAAAATATTCAATCTAAATTTTTCTAACAATGATACCGGCTCGCCGTTTGATTCACTTACTTGAACTAGATTAAGATTTAATAAATTTATCTATCTGACGTTTATACAGAGCCTCTGCATAATATATTATGGATGGGAACTATAAAAGATACCAAAATGTAAATCAAATATTAGGCGTGATATTTTGATTGTCTATTATCTCGGGGTAATTGGGTGATTCATGATTCTCGGGTCGATAAGCAGTAGTATGACTTGCGTAGATTGTTTCACTTTCCAAAAACCACAAAGAATCCTAAGCAACCAGTGATTTGCTGACGAAATTTCTTTGAGAAATCATCATTCAATACAACTAGGGTCTAATGAGCTTCATAATATTACTAAAATAGAAGTTATTAATTTGACATGATGGATACATCGGAACTAGTTCATAACCCTGATTAGTTTACCATGTCGTGACTGCTACCTCTTGTCGTCGAGTATCATCCATATAAGTTAACTTCCAAGCAGTTCGGAACTGGTCCCGTTGGGTGCAGTCAACATGGCTCTAACTCACGATGTCATGGAACTACCTCCTAGGTATGCTGCTATTATATCTTGTGCGTATTTATGGACACTTTCCTAGTAGCAAAATTATTATTTAAGCTCTACGAAAACTGCCATATTGTACACTAAATCCTTTCACCTTCATCAAATTAGCCGCATCGCAGCTCTTCACAAATCCAAAACAAAATTCCATATCGTCGCCCAAAAAATGAGCTCCTACTTCATCGTCAGGGATTTGATAGGTCCTCCGCGTCATGGTGTCAAAAACGCCCTTTACAAGCCCTATAGACATAGGCTCAAGGCAATGGCTAAAGACTCCTTCTGCATTCTACATTACAATCCAGTTCTGAAGGTTATATACGACGAGGATGAAGAGGATGGTACACCTTGTCTTCTTATGATCTTCAAAAACGAGTTTGCCTTATCTCTTGATGAGGAATTATCGTTCCTAAAATCGCGAATCAGAAGGAGCCGGCATCTTGGTTACTTCCGCATTGATGCGATAGCGCCTCCGAGAAGAAACCTAAGGGGAATCTTTGTGGAGCGTGATATCCGATATCAAGGCACGCCACCGGAAACTTTGGGTCGGTCGGAAGAAGAGTCAGATTAGAAGGCATAAATTGTTAGTGGATTGGGGAGAGAAAAAAGGGTTGGGTTGCGAACGTTATGAGAACGGTAGTTTATGGGATTATTTGCTTTGATATTCGGCACGATGCTTTAGCAAGAACTACAGTAGACCACATGTGGTACGACCTAGCTCAGTATTAATATTCAGTCCTTGATCAGACACTCTCGATTTATAAATTTTGAGGTTCCCCTTTATCAGATTCCTAGACCACCAAAATCCCCACAACACAAAGCTTCCAGCTCAAAGGCGCTGTAGGTATTCTTAAGTGTTTCTCATATACTCATACATACCTCGTCATATGAGAGGTAATTTGTTTAGATGTGCTTTGGTTAGCCCTATTTGATTACTAGTACACTTAAGCCGTGATATATGTCTGGTTGAAATGAGGTATTTGTATGAGCAGACGTAAAGTCTTTGCCTTTCTCCTTTTCGTTCCCTCTTGACAGGTACACTATATATAATTGACAATCTCCTTAATTTGCTTTAGTTCCGTCGCTTATGCTTTGAATCGCATTTGCCAAGTGCGTGGATAAGTGAATTCTGGCAAGACTTTATCCAGCTGTCAATGATTTCCTTGGGTTGGATTGGGTCAATTTCACTTTGTCATAATGGTGCCTGACATACCTATGATTCAGATCCAGTTTTACATACAAACTCCTGAAAAGCTGCATGATCTGTCTTACTACTCTCTCCGACAGGAGATGAATGGGGCGCTTCGTGATTCTCATTTAGCATGCGTCACGAGATATGCCCCTCGTCGGTTTAAAGAAGTTTGTTACTTATTGACAATATTCAAGGTTTGTTTCCTTTCGCGAGGCTTATTTTGGGGGCGGTAAACTATTTAATTTAATGCTGAACCTGTATATGTCCGTTGTCATATTAACTGCACCACCCTCACTCTATGGTACCACGCCAAGCCCAAAATAGCACCCCCCGCCGCAATGCCTTTCGCGCTGAAGAATATCTTTTACACACCGCAGAGGCTCAAAGCTGAACAGCATGTCAAGCGTGGCTTCGGTTTGCACTCGAGCCTTGTAAAGGAAGTGACGTATGACGAGGACAAAGACGACAAGACGCCTTGTCTTCTCATAGTATTCTGGTCCTCTCGAGCCCTTTCTCTATTTGGAGAATTGGAGCAGGCAAAGCACAACATCGAAAAGGACTTTTGGGGTGGACTTGACCATTTCCGTATCGATAGTAAGCAACACTTTTGACTCCTATATCCTACTCGAGGCGCCCTAATTAAATTTTGTTTCTTTTGCTGGATTCATTATAGAGTTATAGGAGAGGTGTGATCACTAACTTCGGATATTATAGTTGTAGCGCATAGCAATATGGATTCGCGGACGTGCCTAGTGAGGCGTAGCAGCAAGTATCGCAAGCCTCATCAGAAACCTTAACGAAGGAATATGGCCGCGAGGTGGAAGGGTGGACGAGTCAGGGGAAAGGAGGAGGGGAATCGACTGGGTAAATCTAGCACCGCTAATTAGAACACTCAGATTTATTGTTCTATAGGGCTACAGTACCTAGGTAACCTTAGGTACCTTACCTAATGAGTTTATGAATACCTATACATAATTCATCCAAATAGTGTATTATTACTCATCACCTACCTAAGGAGGCACATGCGCGTATCGTACCTCTATGGGCGCAGCTTCTCTTCTAGATGTATATAAAGGGAAAGTGCATCGGTATGTGTAAGGAAGGAATAAGAAACTTTATAATGCATTTCGGTCTCATCTTCAAATTTTACCCGCTCCATATCATTCCTTTCCAATTCAACATTTCTCCCCCAGAGAGAAAGTGACTTTATTAATGAATTATGGTCCTAAAACAAATCAGAGCAGGAAACCTTTATACGATGGAGCATATGCTGCGCTGCAATAATCTCAAATGCCGAAAAGAACTTGGCGATCGAGCATTAGTGACTACATGTAGTCATATTTTCTGTACCGACTGCGCTGCTCGCCTTGGTTTGACGGCACAGAGACACGAGAATCGCAACTCGTGTCCTGCTTGCAATACCCCTTTAACTAATCCCGACGATGCTGTCGTTTCAAATCTCAATCCCAGCGAAGATTATAAAACGAGTGTTCTCAGCGGCCTCAGTCCCTATATTATTATCGAGTGCGCAAGTCGGGCCCTTAGCTTCTGGGCCTACCAAGCCACCCAGGAAGTGTTAGTACTGACCCGCCTCCTATTGTCCTAAAGTTACCTACATAGGTAACTTCTAATCTAAACTTATAGCTTCTATCACGAGAAACTCGGCTCTGCACTTACTGAAAAATACTCAAACCTCAGCGTCCAGCTTGACAAAGTTATCAATAGTGCAAACTTAGAAATCTCACGCCTGGAAGGAAAGCTTTCAGGGGAGTTGCTCTTATATTCTAATTACATTCACTATTACTGACCTCTTATAGGCATGGGAACAGAGCATGAGAATCTACGTAGAAAGAATGACGAACTAGCCCACGCATACAAGGAGAAGAACCGAAAGCTTCTTCAGATCCAAGAGTTGTATGATAAACTCAAACAAAGAGCCATGTTAGGCCAGATGCAAGATGCTGCTGAAGATGCAGTTGATTCTGCACTCCACGGACAATCATTAGATAGAGCCCAATTTGAGAGTGTTGGCCAAAATCCTGCCGACTATCAAGACCACGGAACGCCTTATGCGCACCATCGCCCAGCACTCCACGAGCAGCAAAGAATGCCAGCCGGATACCACCATCAGGCCATGCGGCAGGACCATAACAATCCTTGGGCAAGGACTACGGGGGTTCAATGTAATAAAGCAAGAGAAGATTCAGGCACAATGGGCGCGATGGCTAACATTATATAGCAAATGTCCCTATCACACCTTCGACCCATCGCCAGCGTCTTGGCGAAACAACTGGTGTTGGTCTGTCGACCATTCCCGGTCTCGTTTCAGGAACTCCTCAAGTACATCGGGCTAATATTAACATACGAGCATCACAAGCTGATATGCCGTCAACGAATCTTCAAACAAATGCAAGATTTCCTGCTGTTGGACTGAGCTCTGGTCTGAAAGTCAGCCACAATGGAGGTGACTCTACCGGATTTTCCGCATCATTAGCAAGACCACGAGGTAAGTTCTCTTATTACAACAGCCCTGTTCTAAGATAAAATCGCACTAACTTACCAGCAGCAGTAGCCCAGAGACGAACGCCGATTTCTTCGACGTTCCATCGAACACAGGCAGGCGGGCAGCAGGAAAATATTCTCCCCGGAATTCGAAATAATTTCACAAATCTCTAAGCTACTTTATCCGCCAAGACTCACAATAAGAATTATCTGTGAATGATAGAGAAAGGATAATATGTCGACTCAAAGGCAGAGCTCTAAGGGTAGAATTGGAACGGGACGTTAATACATCGAACAATCCGTTGTAGCTAGAGGAACATAGAATGATTTGCCCTTGTTCCTTTGTTGCGAAAGCCTGTTAACCTTTCAAATTCACATCGCAGAACAAGAATATTGTTAAAGCACAATACAATTGCGCTTATTAATATATAGTTCTTAAAGGACGTTTCATTATCCCTTCTATACTAGTTATTTCCGCCACCCCTGAACACTTCAAAGAAGATTTTACTCAAAACAGGTCGATATCTACTCATACAGAATCATTATTCCTCATCAAACTTCATCTTCCATACAGAATCATTATTCCTCATCAAACTTCATATTCCAAATCACATACCTCAGCAACTAAATATAACATCAACCATGGCGTCCAGATACTCCCAGCATCAGCATCACGATAGATCAAACAGACTTTACGGATCGAACCCTGATCTATCATCTTCGAATGAGTCTACGCAGGCGTACGACTCGCGCGGCGATCGAAGGAGTATCAAATCGTCTCAGTCGATTCAGTACCAACAGATGGATCGAATGCTACCACGTGGGCCTCAAGTTGAGGACAAGGACGTTAAAGTGACGAAGGCTTTCAGCCGTTGGCTAGGAAAGCATAAGCCCAAGAATGCTGCAAGCACTGAGAGGCTCCGTATAAGCGAGCCCCAAGCTGTATCAGTACCGCAAGCTCCGTTGCGCCCTAACCGTTCGATTAATGAGCAAAAGCTGCTGCCACTAAGTGGATCTCGGATATTACCCGAGCTGGAATCATCAAGGCCGCCTCTAAAGAATCCCAGTATTCAAAAGAAAAATCTCGGTAAATTTCAAGATGCACTGGGCTCCTACCCAGTCGGCGCTTGGCTCGATGATTCGTCGAAGACGCACCCCCCTAGACAAATATTGTTAAGGTCTTCGGCCGAGGATAGTGACGAAGAGGTTCCACGAGTTGTTAAATCTAGACGGTCCTCTCGTATTTCCTCAAGCTTGAATTCCCCCGAGCCTGAGCCGACACGTGACATCCAGCCCAGTCTGCCGGCGGATGTCAGAGCTGACCGACGGAAAGGGCGGATATTCTTAAATGGCGATCCTTCTAGAAGTCTTTATGAATTCCCCGACCCGGAAGTTTGGAGTAACGAAGATGGTGATGAAAGCGAAGATGACGACCAATTCTGGGATGACGCTGGTTTTGATGATTCTAACTTTGACGAGGCCGTTTTTGAAAGTATGGGTGAGCAATATCTCACTAACAGTTCCGTCCCAGAGATCGTAGTTTCCAGTCCGAGTGACGAAGAAAGCGAGTCGAAGAGACGTATGAATTCTGAGGACCTGCTGAAACCCGACGACGTCTATAAGGTTCTTTTGAAGCAGCAGACTAAAGAAACACGCTTCTTGAGTGAAACCCAACGTTATCTATTACCTCTGGCTTGGTTAGTGGCAGAGGCAGAAGGAATAGATGTAAATGACTTGCCCGGTCTGGAGATAGCTTTGAAGTCTATCATTGCGGACCGTCAGAAGCTCATTGACCTCTTTCCCCTGGCAAAGATATTGTCCAAGGATCAAAAGGTTGATGTTAATGACTTCAAATCATTCCCTCGGATGTTGAAAAATATCATAGCGGACCGCGATAATGCTAAAATGTTAGCCGAGTACCACAGAGTGGCAAGAAGAAAGCTCGAATCAAGAGTCGCTCAGTTAGAGATGGAGAGAAATGGCGAAAGCCCGGATGATGAAGAGTATATCCGGTACTGAAAATATTCCTTAGCCACCACCCAAGGTAATTATGGAAGATGAGTATTCTTAAGGTCTTAAAACATACTGTTACCTAATAATTCTAAAAAGCAGTGGGCTGGGACCATTTGCGACTGATAGAGGTATAATTTGGAACACTTCTCTGGCCGTAAGTACTCATTACCTAACCTAAACCCCCTCTACCAATCCCCCAGGTTTATATCACACCCCTATTTTCCATTCTCACATATTCACATGGTTTTGATAATCATTCAACTTCCTTTACCACTTTAATATCGGGAGTAGTTAAGAATCACCCACGTGCAGGACACTGTACATCGACAACGATGCCATAGCCTCTAATTAATACGAGGCTACCCGGCACCACATATCAATTGGCGTCTTATCACGGATATACTGTATAAGCACGCACTTAAAAAATTTCATTTATAACAACCAGCGGGGTATACGAGACCTAGCAAGTTGCCATCACTTCGTCAACGACATCATTTTCTCATCTCTTCCTCGTCCTGCGCGGGAGGTAAGAGATACGAAAGCCATTGATTTTAGCACGTTATTTTTTTCGGGCAGAGACGCCCAGGTACGAATCTCATAATGCAGAAAACCCATCCTCCTGGTCTGGCCAGACGGGTGGACAGGTGGACGATACGCTCGTTACTTTCCATATGTACCTTGGTATCTCCACTCATTTACAAAATTGTTTAATTAATTACTATTAGAATTGTTTAGCATAGGTACGCATCTCGTCACTTATCTCTTTAGTTAGCTAAATTGGTGTGTACATGGTTAATAAAAAATAAAAATAAAAGGAAAATACTTTTATCTTCATACCGTTGAACTACTCTCTATCTGGTTGTGATTGTGTCTTACATACATGTTACCCATCACTAATGAAAACTACTGTTAGGTTAGGTCTTATGTAAATTCAGAAATATCTAATGTTATATGATAATTGTAGCTAATCTCGGGATACTCCTTAAGGGTAGCCTTCCAAGTCTATGTGAGTGTTGACTTGATAGGTATTTATCATTATCAACGATTTGAATATTTCCTGTAGCTGTATATGAACCCCTGGAATACAGTATCCAATCTAGCTCCATGGATAAAACTCATTGGGCGAGACAATGATAGACCGCTTTTCACCACCTCGCCATCTTAGGCACGGTATGTGCTCGCTTTCCCGTTTTTGATTCGTCACCTTAATTCCTAGTTCCGAATTGAGGAGCTTCATCGCGCTGTGAAGCTCCGGGCTGGGATTCCAAATATCCACTTCTGGAAGCTCCCACTTGGCAGCCTCTTCGATGGCGTCGAGTAGGAGCCGGGCGATTGCCCGTGTCGAAGTTGCTTCGTCTTGGCCACGGGGCGGTTTGACGCGCTGGATTGTGATCTTTCGATGATGGAGATCGGAGTACCAGTATACCCACGAGTCTGCGCTCTTGCAGATACTGCCTTTTACTTCTGGGGTCTTGCCGTTTAACTGGTTGTTCGTATATGCTATTCGAGCTTGTAACCAGGTGATCATGTTCGTAGTAGGTAGGATGGTCACGAGCACACTGTCTTTTGGGAAATCGTATTTCTGGAAGTCATCTTCCAGACTTTCCACATCCCGCTCGCAGAGATGGGGAATGTCATCTGTAGTTAATGGGCGCGTCTCTGGAAACTGGACTTGTCCCGGACGTGGAACGGATAGGGGAACTGTCAGAATAGATTCGAAAGAATCTAGAATATCCCAACCTTTGCTAACGTAGAACTAAGGGGTCCGCATCAGCATGTTGAACTGCGACGTAGCGGTTAACATGACCTACATCTCCCACATCCGAGTATAGTATACTAGCCGTCGCATTTCCCGGCCCATCTAACCATTCAGCAACGCCTTTCAGTAAGACAGAGGCGAGACCGCGTCCCCTGTAAGTCGAATCGGTAACGACGCTACAGATGCAGTAGCCCTGTTCCTGGCGTGCCACCGCTTCCCCGCGCGTGGCGGAATCGTTCCGGACTAGTAGATCCCTGTGCATCGTCTTGCACATGGCCAACACTTGTTCGGGGTTATCGGCCAATGTGAGACACCACCACCGCCAGCCGGTGCCTCGCGCAAGAGGTTGACTTGCGAGATATTCCTCTCGCTCTAGATAACCTTCCGGCGTAAGTGACTTCCCGAAGGCCGTAGAAGCGAGTTTGGCGGACCGGACTCGCTCCACGGGTGTCGTCGCCTCGGAGAAGATTACTTTAAGCGTACCGCGGGCATTTTCGATGGTAATTGGTTGTTGTATCTCTGCCATTGCTGTAATGTTTATTTTACTTCTTGCTATAAGGCTAGGTACCTACCTACCTATGTAATTAAATTATGAGGGTCGATTGCTTCTCTTAACGAAACCGGAAGGCCGTTGTGGATAATATGTAGCGGCCGGTATAAGTGTCTCCGCATCTGGTCCGAGATTCGTTTATAAATCGGACCGGTCATCCACTCTTCGCTTAGTTGCGGATCATTTGTTGGCGACCCTCGCCTCCTTGCTGGTTCCCCTCAAGATGTCGTCTTTTATATATCCGATTTTCTTTGCGATTCGCAGCGCGCATTGCGCTCGTCTGCAATGGTTCCCTGCTGTACTCCTTTAATCTTTCCTAGTTTATCACACTAAGTCTCATCGGGTGGATTAAAGGCTTCGTATTCGTACAGGCAGCGCTAAGATATAGGATCATGAACAAATAATGTTTTAAAAGATCTTAGCTCTCCGCGGGGTAGTATTCCTATCTGCTCAGCCAATGTAGGTACGATCGTGAGAAGAAAGGACGGCGAAATGGACGCCACAGGAAAGCAGACACTGTATATCGCCATCGCGACGCTTCTCGTGATTGGCATCGCTTGGGTATGGAAGCTCAACAGCGCGTTGAAACAGACACCACCGGAAGTATTGGCTGTCTCCCCATACCGCTGGACAGAGCAAGAGATTAAAGATACCTACCGACGCATTGAGGCCAACCCAATCGACTGGGTTAAACAACTCCCGCCGCAGCTGAACCGCCGTTACATTGTCACAGGCGGTTGCGGCGGAGTCGGCGGTCAGATCGTCATACACCTACTTGCCCGCGGCCAGTCTCCGGAGAGCATCCGAATCATCGATTTTCAAAAGCCGGTCCGACCTGATATGACAACGGGCCCTGCCGCTCTGGTTGATTTCGCACAGGCTGACATCACATCGCCACCGGCAACGTCCGCGGCATTTAATAAGCCATGGCCCAAGAGTGTTGCCCATCTTCCACTTACTATCTTCCACACGGCTGCTATCATCCAAGCGTCAGAGCGATCCCTGAAAACTTATGAGCGCGTAAAGCGCGTCAATGTCGACGGTGTGCAAAATGTCTTAGACGCGTCGAAGCAAGCCGGCGCTGACGTCTTCGTATCCACGTCATCCGCCTCGGTCGCCTACATGCCCGTGAAGTATTGGCGCAATCCGTTTCGGCGCTGGCCTGAGAACTATTGGCAAGTACTCGACGACTCTGATTTTGACCGACCGTTGCGACCGCACGCGCAATTCTTCAGCAACTACGCGCACGCAAAGGCGACCGCCGAACGCCTTATCTCCGAGGCCAATAACTCCGGTTTCCGCACGGGGCTCGTGCGCCCCGCGAACGGCATCTATGGTAGCAGCCACGGCGACCAGATCATTGGGCTTTGTTTGAGGACTGGTACGTTCCCGAGTTGGACGAGGAATATCATCCAGAACTTCGTGCACGCCGGAAATGTGTCGTTGGCGCACTTGCTTTTCGAGGCGGCGCTATTGAGAGATGAGAAGATAATGCCTAAGTGTGCCGGCCGCGCGTTTACCGTTACGGACGCTGGACCGCCGCCCATGTACGACGATGTCTACAGGTTATTACGAATCACGGCCACGCTCAACACAGCGCCTATCAAGGTCGTGTACTTGCAGCCTGGGGTTATGCTATTTCTCGCACATATCATTGAGTGGTTTGACCTAGCAAGTCGAACGCCGGTACTCGGATGGATAGTACCGCGGCCTAAGGGCGAACTGGCAAAATTACAGCCGGCCATTTTCACGGCCTGCTCGCATCTCTTGGCATCAAACGAAGGTGCGGGACGAAGCGTCGACGAGGGTGGCATCGGATACCGACCTGTTCATAACACAATAGAAGGAGTTTGTCAACAAGTTTTAGAGTGGAATATTGGGCATCAGGATTCAGCGAAACAATGACCCCAAAGCGGCGCAGAGACTCTTGTAAAAGAGATTAAAAACGTAGGCGTTATGCCTACTGCTATGGGTGCTTGAGCGTAAAGCTATGTTATTCTACCATCTACAAAGCGTTGTTTCATGATTGTCTACCTAATGTATCTTCTATAACTAGGACATTAAAACTCCTTCATTCCCAAATGCTCCATACAGAAGGGCTCATTCGAACATACGGATACTACCGATCTAGTAACTAAGCACTATTGATGATAGTACATCGTTCTATTGAAACTACATTATAGTCGTTTTCGAACAACTTGCATGTTTTCTAACCAGTCGTGTTGAACTAGAATACGACACATGTCCCCAAACGATGACCTTGCTCAACCCTGTTCTTGATGCTATATGGTAAAGAGGTAGCCACTGAAATCTGATTTGATGGATGTCACGAATAGTTGATTCTACCAATCTATTGAAATAGCTACCTTTCACAAAGCACAAAGACGAAGCTACACCTTTCAAATTATCGAAGAAATCGAGACACTATGTCAGCAAATATTGCTCCTCCAGCGGAGGCACGGCCATCTCGCCTTACCTTCGGCGTTGAGATGGAATTCGTAGTTCCCTGGCTGCCTGAGGGCGGCGACGATGCCCTCGAACATATTAAAGGTCTACCTCCGGTCCTTAGGCTAAAGAAGGCACCAAAGAATGGAGACTCTGAATCGGTGATTTACGAGATGATCAAGGCTCTCTTCGAGGAACACAACCTTCCAGCCAATGTTAAAACTTATACGTATAAGACCAATTTTGTCAAGACAATACTCGGTAGATACAATCATTGGGGAGTTACGGACGACATTACCGTCAATGAACCCGTCGAAGCCAAGACCTTTGATTGGGTTGAAAAGTTTCAGTGGGTGGGCGTCGAGGTTCAGACTCCTGTCGAGCCTGATATCCCTGCTGCTTTCGAGGTTCTTAATTACGCTCGACAGCTTCTAACCTCGTCGTATAGGTGTCGTGTTAACCATTCCTGTGGACTTCACGTTCATGTTGGAAACGGTGGCGAGTACTTTCCCCTCAACTCTCTGAGACGCATTGCTTCACTGGTATTTGCTACGGAGCATTTGCTCACCACCCTCAATCACCCCTGGCGGGTAGTAAACTGGAACTGTCGAACATTGCGGGACAGGAGTAACTTGTCGAATCGGTTAGACGGTCAAGCAGTGAGTGATGGCCCAATGCATGAAACCGGATCCGCAAGAGATTGCATCCGGTATCTTGCTACAGAGGTCCGACACGGAGAGGAGCCTATATCCTGGAGAGAGCAGAATCGAAGGAATAAGTATGTGGATGATTTCGAGGAACATAGGAATAATAATGGCTTTGAACCCTTCCAGCCAAAGCCAGATCCTAAGGATGGCGAAGAAGCACCAAAAAAGAAGAAAGCAGGAGGAAAAGAAGAAGCAAATAAGATAATCAAAGCGTCCGACGATCCGTTCAGCCAGTCTATCGAGCCCAGCAAGCCCGTCCGCACACGAAACATTCCAAGAATCGTAAGACCGCGCTATACCAATGAGCAACTCGAAGACATCACCGAAAAGGTAAGAGACTTCGGCTGCTCCGGCCTCGAGATGGAGGGCCCACGTTCCCACCGAGCGCCAGACCCAGGCGTATTCGCAGGCGTCCAGCAGATCTACCAGAGCGCGAGCAGCTGCGAAATCGCGCACCTCATGTATCCCCGAGGAGGAGCCATGGTGAATTTCCGGCACTACGCGTGCGATTCATTCGTGTATCGCAACTCGGGGCGCACGATCGAGTTCCGGGGAGCCGAGGGCAACCTCAGCTCCTGGGTGGTGGTCTGGGCGAAGATTTGCGTGGGCCTGATCAAGTTCGCCGTTCGATCGCCGTACTACGAGTTCGCCCGCGTCCTGGAGAACTGCGATGTTTCTACGGATGAAGACGGCGCGTATGACTGCATCGACTTGCTTGATGATCTGGGACTCTACGCGGAGGCGGAGGCTGCTGAGAAGAGGATCGCGGCGAATAAGGCGGAATGGGGGCTCGAGTACGTGGAGCCGGAGAAGGAGGCGGCTTGAATAATTACTAACCTAGTCTAACGTGCGGTAATTATCTTTTGATTTCTCCTTTCTTTTCCATTGAACTTGATCTTTGGTTAGGAAGAGCACTTTATTTGTTGTAGAACATATGGCCTATTATATACTGGGGCTTTCATTTTAAAAAACATACTCTTTATCTAGTTGCTTCCAACATCTTAGAACATTAGACATAGTTAGTTCAATTTTAATATCTTAGTAGCATTATAATATTTTCAAGTGTCAAGTGCCTGTTTCTCAACTCTGCACATTGTCTTTCTTATCCTATAAAAGGGGCAAATTGTAGCATAGACCCTAGTGTTGTCCCATGTATTTGCAAACTCTGAGGATGCGTTAGTTGATATCCTATGCTTAAACAGGCGTAAGTCCTAGCGATCATAGCGTTTTAGCTCGTCCACATCATCAACTATTTGAATCCTTCTTGGCCCACTGAGGCTTGTCCGAAGCCAACTGGACAAGTGAGGCATTTCTACACTTTAAGCGTCTGTGAAAATGCACTATATTTTCTATATACCTAGATGAAGTAATTGACTAGCACAGTGATTGTCGTCTAGTAAACGCGGTTACAATCGATTGGCGTACCGTACGCCAATGAAGATCCTGACGTCGAAAATATTACTCAGATCCTCAGCTGAACAGCAGAGCGGAGATCTAAATAAAGACCTTGCAGCGCAGCCTTAAAAGCCGAGAAATGGCTGTGCATCTCGATCTAGAACCTAGCCCGCAAGACCTGCTTTAATCATGCCTGTCATTGCGCTAGGTAGACCAGCGTTAGAATAGAGCTGATTGGTTCTTTTTTCTACAATAAAATTGACAGGGAAGATTTAAGATGACCGAATACCCCGTACTAAACCTAAACCGGTCTTTCAAAGGATCACATCTGCCAAGATGAATCTCCCCATAATCAGCAGCACAGCCAAGAGTAATGAGATGTCGGGTTTTGAGGCTTGGGAACGTGTCGAACCCTTGGCTCTCTGCCTTATGGGATCCATCGTTTTTGATATGTAGTCCTATATATATAAACTTGTCAGTAAGCTGTAAGATTCTAATCGGATTCCATCCTCAACTTGCGGCACTCCTTAAAGCAAATCTTCAACCTTAAATAAATAAATAAACAAACAAACTTTCGTTACTTAACACCGCGTCGAGGTATAACTCATTCAAAATGGTCTCCCAAGTGACGCTCGCTATTCTCGGCCTCGCCTCTACCGCCGTTGCGACATACAGCCCACTGCAGCTGAGGAACCTCCACAACCTGCGCCAGGAACATGTTGTTGTCGAGGTGCGACAGGCAACTTCGGATGAGCCCGAACTACCTACAATCACACAAAGCCCCGAGTGTGTTTCCGCCCTAGCGCCGCTGGGCTCCGACGTCCCCGACGTCCCGCCCGAGCTTCTGTCATACATGGAGTCGTTCGCGGCCACGGCCGACACCAGCAACCCGACCATCTTGTGCGAGGCCACCCAGGTGCCGCAGTCGCTGTCTTCTCAATACAGCTCGTACGACCAGGCAGCTAGCAGCTGGCTCAGCAAGCACAGCAGCGACCTCCAAGCCGCTGCTACTAAGTGCGGCGGCAGCGATGCCCAAGTCAGCCAGGCCGTAGCTTCTATCAGCGCCTTCCTCGGAGATGGATGCGGTGCTTCTTCGAGCGCGGGTTCCGCGGGTTCTGCCGGTTCTGCCGGTTCTACAACCGCATCGCCGGGTCTTGCTGCCCGACCCACCGGCATGGTTGCGGGTGCCATGGCTGCCGCCGGTGCTCTTGGCGTCGCCGTGCTCCTATAGTTGGATCCCTGGTATGCGCATATGCTGGAGTTGAAAACGGGCTCTTCCGTATAAATCAGATAATGTAATATACCCAAAATTCAATTCGCTTCTGCATATTTTTTTTTTACATGTACGTTTGCATTGTGTGTGTTATACATTGATGCACTATCGCCCAATGTTTAAGTTTCGTGATAATTCGCGTTTATTATGCGTAGTTTCGGTAAAATGTTGGACCATTGGAATATAAAATGTCTCAGATCTTGTTAAAATTTGTAGTAACACTACATGAGATGAGGGTTGTGATAGGCACGCATGTGAAGCTATTGTTTATATGCGTACATAAGCCTAGGTGCCTGAATAGGTGCCTGAATAGGTGCCTGAGTCGGTGCATAGACCACATAACACAGGTATGCAGATATCCGCCTTCTATTCCGTACAACTCCTACAACCGATTTCTTCATGTCTCGCACTTCGACAAACAACAACCACACTCCAGCAAACCTCAATCTAGGAATATATCATTTCAGAAAGATAAAACATTCGTTACCATGGCCAAGCTGACGAATTTACCCTGTGAACTTTTCCAAATGGTCACAGCTTGCGGCAATCTGAAAAGAAGTGATCTCGCGTCCCTTGCTCTCGTCAACAAACAACTCTATTTTGTCACCAACGAAACACTTTACAAGACATTTGGAAGCCCGGTCGCAATTGAATTTGCCGTTAAAAATGGCGTGATTGGCACTCTTGAAGCTGCCCTTTCCTTCGGACTGGACATACACTACGATTACGATCAACCACTGCGCCAGGCTTGCGGGAAGGGGCAGATAGAAGTTATAAAATGGTTTTTAAATCATGGCTCGTCAGTCGACACCGAACCCGTATCTGGTATTTTTGTCCAGGCGGCCCATTCCCCGTTGTTCACCGCACTCCGATGTGGGAATGAAGATGCTGCCTTGTTGTTACTTAAACTTGGGGCTACTCCTAGATTCGCCTTTGACAACCACTTTTCTTTGGATCAATTATATATCATGTTATCCTACTATTCGGCTCTTCACATAGCGGCTGACAAGGATATGATGCGTGTGGTGGAATTTCTAATTCGCGAACACGTACAACCCATTGATGAGAGTATCCGTGGCTGTCCATCGGTCTTAGGCTTGTTGATTAAGCGATACAGGCGCAATTCTCAGTTGAGTACATTCAAGAAGCTAATTGAGTTTGGGGCCAACATCAACGCCGAAGCTTCCAACGATAAAGTTCCATTCATACTTGCTCTCGAGCATGGCCAATATGACTACGCGGAAGCACTACTTGATGCCGGTGCGATGATTAACTCAAGATCCACGAACCCTAGAATACGACACCCCATTCATGCTTGCATTGCGGGCTCGAGACGCAACTTCCTTAGAGGGTGCGCCATGCTTTCTAGGCTAATAGAAGCTGGTGCAGACCTGGAAAAGAGCTACCTAGGAGGATATACTCCCTTGGGGGAGGCTGTGGTAGATGGACATAGCAAAATGGTAGCTCATCTCTTATCATTGGGTGCTCATGTGGATGGTCAAGATTCATCTGGACGTACTCCACTAGATCTTTTCGTGGACTATAGGAGCTATGACTGTGTGCAGCATCCGGAAAAAGTATTGGCACTCCTACGTGGTGGTGCTAGGATGGATACACCTTTGTTTGATGGAAGGACGTTACTGGAATGGATAATCCATGAGGATTGGGTACTTAGTGAGGTTGAAGATATACCTTCTAGTGCGGACCTACTTGAGCAACTGTTGACCGCAGCTATCCCGGCAATGTTGGATCATAAGCATCTGGATGAAGTCCTGTTTAAGTTCTTCGAACCGAGGTACTATAAGGAATGCTTAATACTCGCTAATAATGGTGCCACTTTGAAATCCTACGACCAGGCATATTCTACCGCAAGAGACATGATATCCACTTACGAACACCAGCAGCCACGCGATTCGGGAAATCATTTCAAATACTTCCAGATGATTGCCCATGCAGGCTTGCCAGCAGAAAAGATCGACGAGTTGATGGCCTATGCTCGAGAAGTAGGAGATGTAGAGAGCAACCGAGCCCTACTTTCTAGGAAAGCAACTTACTCTGGGACTTGAAACAAAACTGGTACCATTAGGTTGTAAAAACGACACCATAATCGTTATGGAAACGGCTGTAAAAAGAGGCTTGTATTAACCAAGATACGAATATGCCCCCGACTTGGTCGCAAGGGGAGCACCCCCAAACACGACTGGACAGTTGCAGAACGAGGCGAAGGAAAAAGGGTGGGAAAAAAAAGGAAAAAAACCCTAAGTGTTGATGACATATTTTCTTTAGGCTCGTATTCCTGTAGGGGAGACAGAAATAATAAAATCAGTGCGCATAAACCAGTGGAAGATACTAGTCCTAATCTCAATCGTCACTGTACTGTTAATATCCTTATGTACCTAGGTACCTACATTAGTAGGTAGCTATGGTCCATTACAGTAATTCGAGAAAAAGGGCTAAGTCAAGGTACACTCTGTCACTCCTATTGCTGGCATCCAAAATACCCCTATTCCGATTTTAACAAACGGCTATGACAGATATGCGATGAAGCATATATGTAGGTTAGGTACCTAAGGTACCTAGGTATATATCGCTAAATGGGGGTTCATAGTTATTATGGCGTAAGGTGGCTTGTGCACCGATACCTTTACAAAGTACACGTCAATCTGATGTGGGATTAGGAGGTGACGCCACATCTCAGGAACATTGATCATTAGTTCGAAACTTCGAGACTTTCGCTAAGAGCAACGCGTTTAATCTGTCGGCTTTCTGTCATTAAGTGGAATTAACGCGTGTATATACAATAAATCTCAAATTCGCATTGGAGTGTCGCGCGGGCCGGCTGAGTTATTTAGGACCGACGACACATGGCCTCTCTATTTATCTAAGGAGAAACACGCGACAATGGGTATGCGAATCGAGTCTCTATACCGATTAGACGGTAATCCTTGCTAACTTTCCTGCAGCGTCCCCGAGACCATCGCGCGACTCCCTTTCTTCTGTATCTACGACGAGTTTAGTATTCGAACGACTTAGCGAACGAGAGAAGCTCAACGAGGGTATTTCCGATTTGGATGACGAGGATCCATTACACAATGACTCTGAGGATGAAGCTGGTGGCTTCTTACCTCCCCTTCCGGAAAGGAGGGCTGTCGGGGTAGATAAATCTCTAAAGAGGTTCGTCCTCGTTATGGCTGGCGTATTTCTTGCTGCTTGGCTAGTTGGTCTATTCACATATTTATCGACCAAATCATATCAGCACTCTTCTCAAAAGGAGCACGATCCGACCGCTACCGCAGCTCGCGGATCCGGCAAGAAAGTCACGTTAGACCAGATATTAGACGGCTATTGGCGACCTCAGAGCCATGGAATAAGCTGGATCGCGGGTGCGAACGGAGAAGACGGATTGCTTTTGGAAAAAGGTGCGGCTGGGAAGGATTTCCTCGTTGTTGAAGATGTTCGGAGCAAGAATGAAGACCATGCTGCAGGCGGCGGGGAGATCAAATCTGCGCAGACGCTCATGCAGCAATCTTGGTTCAAGGCCGGCGATCAACAACTATCACCAGACCAAGTTTGGCCGAGCCCGGATCTAAAGAAAGTACTCATCGCTACTCAGACGAAAAGCATTTGGAGATATTCTTTCACTGGTGTATATTGGATATTCGATGTCGAGTCTCAAACTGCCGAGCCCCTGAACCCTCAGGATCCCAACCTCCGAGTGCAGCTTGCCCAGTGGAGTCCGAAGAGTGATGCTGTTATATATACAAGTGCGAACAACCTGTATGTACGACGGTTAGAAGGCAAGAGCATCGTGCAGATCACGAAAGATGGTGGACCGGAGTATTTCTACGGCATTCCAGATTGGGTGTACGAAGAAGAGGTCTTCGGCGATAATAGCGCGACGTGGTGGTCTGAGAAAGGAGACTTTGTGGCTTTCTTAAGAACGAACGAAACCCTAGTGCCTGAATACCCAATCCAGTTTTTTATTGATAGGCCAAGCGGCGAGGCGCCTCCCGCTGGAAAAGAAAGTTACCCAGAAGTGCAACAGCTGAAATATCCAAAGGCCGGCTCGCCCAACCCATTTGTAGACCTTCTGTTCTACGATATGGCCCGGGGCGATGTTTTCTCGGTCGAGATTGAGGGAGGTTTTGCCGCGGATGACTTGTTAATTACTGACATCACGTGGGCTGGAAGTAAGGTCCTTGTGAAGGAGACGAATCGTGTTAGCGACATCATGCGAGTTATTCTAATCGACGTTACTTCCCGGACGGGCAAGACGGTTAGGACAGTCGATGTGGGCAAGCTAGATGGCGGCTGGTTTGAAATCTCACATGATACCACATATATCCCGGCCGACCCTTCGAACGGTAGACCTAATGACGGCTACATCGATACTGTTATTAAGGATGATAGGGACCACATGGCATATTTTAGCCCTCTGGAATCCGAAGAGCCTGTCATGTTAACATCAGGGAATTGGGAAGTCGTGGCAGCGCCTTCTGCAGTTGATCTGAAGAATAATCTTGCATACTTTGTCGCTACAAAGGAGTCCTCTATCCAGCGACATATTTATAGCGTTAAACTTGACGGGTCTCACTTGAAAGAGATGATTGATGTCAGCAAGGAAGGTTATTATGATGTTTCGTTTTCCGTCAAAGCTGGATACGCCCTCGTCACGTATAAAGGGCCAAATGTCCCAACGCAAAAGGTTATGAGCACCCCGGGAAACCCAGAGGTATACGAACACATTATTGAAGAGAACAAGGACTTGGCGGATAAAGCAAAGAAGCACGAGCTACCATTGCTAGACTACGGTACAATTACTATAGATGATGTTGAGCTTAACTACCTCGAGCGCCGTCCAGCGCACTTCGATCCGAAGAAGCGATACCCCGTGCTCTTCCAACAGTACTCCGGTCCGGGCTCACAGTCGGTTGACAAGCGTTTTGCTGTCGACTTCCAATCATACGTCGCTGCCAACTTAGGTTACGTCGTCGTTACGGTTGATGGGCGCGGGACAGGATTCATAGGGCGGAAGGCGCGCGTGATTGTACGAGAGCACCTCGGACAGATAGAGGCTCAAGATCAGATCGCAGCAGCTAAGATCTGGGCCGAGAAGCCATATATAGATGAGTCACGGGTCGCAATCTGGGGATGGTCATACGGCGGGTTCCAGACACTCAAGACGCTAGAGCAGGATGCGGGCGCTACATTCAAGTACGGCATGGCGGTGGCGCCGGTAACAGACTGGCGCTTCTATGATAGTATCTACACGGAGCGGTATATGCTCACGCCGCAACAGAACGGGAAGGGCTACGATGGCACTGCCGTCAGCAACGCTACGGCCTTGGCGCAGAACGTGCGCTTCCTTATCATGCATGGTATTGCTGATGATAACGTGCACATGCAGAACACGCTTACGCTGTTAGATAAGCTGGACCTGGCTGGCGTTGAGAACTACGATATGCATATGTTTCCGGACAGCAACCATGGTATTTACTTCCATAATGCGAATCGCATCGTTTACGATAGTAAGTCACCCCTCTTCATTTACGATGTGGTCTATTAGGGGCATCGCATGCTAACAAGCGACAGAACTAAACAATTGGCTCATCAACGCATTCAACGGCGAATGGTTGAAGGTCACAGATGCGAAGCCCATACCCAATAAAGCGAAGAGAGATATAGAAATAGTTAAGAAGTCGGGGATCAAAGCCAGCGGCGGGCAGACGCTGCCGCTATCAAGTTTAGCCGGGTTGGATTTATTATAGACTGCATTGTATAGCGGCGTCCCGGTGTATATCTTTTCGGACTCTTATGCTTTTGCATAGAATATATCAACAAATAAATACAATATGAAGCTTTATAGTGCTGGGTCCGAAGCTAGTAGCTTGGTGATGTTGTTTATTTGGCCAATATTTGCTTGTTTTCCCACAAGGTCTAGATTGGTCGATTAGTGTACCTACGGTAAGGTCTACTGTGACTTTACCCCTATTATGAGCTAACATATTTATGCGCACCAGCCCTTACCTATAATATCTAAGATACCAACAGTTTGAAAAGTGAAACTCATAATCAATTTCGTGGTATCTAACGGTCATAAACAACACTTGAACTTCTAGTGCTATCGTAGTTTCAAACCCCCTTAAAAGCTCATTACCGATCCATGTACCAACATAATCCGCCGGGTCAGCCCATGTAGTTTAAAACATACCTATATCGAAGTTAATTAATGAGCTGCGGAGGAACCTGTGTACTAGGATCGATCTTCTCGATAATAGCCGCGGTACCATAAGCGCTGCACTGAGCAAAACCACCCATATCACCCGATTCGAAACGGAGGCAGATAATAGCGTTCCCACCGCGAGCCTTCGTCTCGGCCACGACTCGACTAATTGCATCATTCCTCGCCGAGTAGAGCTTAACAAACAATTATTAGTTTTTTAACGTAAGTAGGGCTGAAATACGGTAGCGAAGGTACCTAGGGTAAATACATACCATACTGGTAAACCAGCGCAGCTCGCCGCCCGCTATGCTCTTGATCACCATGCCCATGCTCGCAGCCCAGTTCCGCGATCGGACTGTTAGGCCGTAGACGGCGCCGAGGACTTTGACTACGCGGTACCCCGGCACGTCGAACATGGTGGTTGTGATGACGCCTTCGGTCTCGGTGAAGCAGTGCAGGTCCGAGAGTTGTGGCGGGACGTCTGCGGGGGGGTTGGAGTGGAAGTTCATTGTGCTTGTGTTTAGGCGTTATGGCGGTTTAGTTGTTGATCTATCACTGAGAATGATTTCTTAGATGGGTAATTAGGTTTTTGACTGGAGGTCTTCGGTATACTGGTGACTTTAGGTACCTTGCAATTGAATAGGTAGCAAGCGAAAAGGGGTAATTATTACACGGCCTATGTTTTCAACTGCTCTTTATGTTTTCAATGCCAAACCCCAAAATTAACCAGAGATATGATTTCCTTTATATCCCCTCAGCTCCCAGCCATGTCGTCTTCTTGACATAGATCAGATGCTGTCATGCGCAAAAAGCCTCGGAAGATACTAGCTTGTGATTGGTCAGTTCCCCTTGCGGTTTACTCAAAGCAGCCGTCGTATACATCGTATTCCGTATTGTGGACCCGACTATATCTCGACCGCGCCTATTAGTGAGTCTATTAGCATGGCAGTGCCACTAAGTGCAGATTCTAATTGCAACCAAGCCACTACTAGTGCCTTAGACTGTCAGGTTGACAGGAACATTACATGTAGTTAGGTATACTGCTCTAATACTATACGTAATATTTATTTCTCCAATGTTCCTATTAGGTTATTCGTGGATAATAGAGTTTTATAATTCAATGAATGAAGTCTCACCGAAATTTCCTAGTATCTTGATAAAAATCTCCCCCCTTTCGCAGGGTTCAGCTTAGTATCGGCTAACTCGTTCGTAAGTGATCTTCTCAACCGTAACCCGTTCGACAGTCTCATATTCAATCAACTGACTGCAGTCAACGACCATTTCCTCGCTTAGTTTACCGTCTGCGAATTGAAACTGGACTGCTACGTCCACACCACAATCTCCGAAGTCAACTTCAGCCTCCAATGAGGACACGATCCAGTCTCCGTTATAGCCATCAACTTTGACAAGCATGCCAAGGACATTTGTCTAATTGAAGTAAACACTTAGTTATAGGTTAAGCTATAGGCAATTACCTATGCGTGATATTGACTTACAGTCATTTTGTGGATTGTTGATAAGGGGATGGTTGATAATATAGTAATATGAGGGGTCCGAGCCTTGGGCTTAAGCGTATTATGATAGGTGTACCTATCTTATAAGGCGAAGTATTCGAAGTTCGAAATATGATAAAGAATGTGGAGTTGCCGTTATGCTTGGTCGATGTTGCTTTGGACGTTCGAGAACTGAAGGAGAGGTCCTATTCATACTCTCTCTGGTTGTTGCAGTCTAGCCTCACTTGCACTGCCCGAGACGAAATCAAGATGATATTATCTCTGAATGCGATAGACTCGCAAACACCGACTAATTATTGATTAACACATTTCTACTAGGAGCTAGCGGTGGATTTGAAAATACTTTTTAGATTGAGGCTTGAGTTATCGATTCCATGCACGATGCTTACGGTATATCAATTAGCCTACGGCGAGAGACGGCTCCCGGGAGGTGCTCGTTGGTCCGTATAGTTCAAAGCTTGATGCGATGTTACTCAACGACCTTCATTAGTATTGAAGCTCCGGAAGATCAATCATGCCGGTTGGGGGTATTTCAATTATGAGTTTCCTGATATTTATATTGAGGCTATTCGAACGCATATAAGGACCCGCTTTTGACGATTATTTGGTGTTTTATATCCTAATGCCGCCACTAGCCGATGCCCAGCCGATAATGATATACCTCGCTTGCATCTTCTATTGTGTACCTATACACCAACAATCATTTAACTAGTCGTACGTGCGTACCGCTATATTTTGGGTAACAGTTATAAAACTCTTCCAGGCTATTCTAAGCCTCTAAGGGAGAAATTGCTGCTAGAGTATCTGAGACAAGACTTTGCTTTATTGACTAATCATACTACGTAAATGGGAAAATGAATGTAGGTAGCTACCAAATCTAATTTGATCTGATCCGAATAAAGAGTTGTTGCGTACCTGAGTAATGAAATGCTCATTATATTATTGAGCTAATCAACGCACATATTTTCCACCCTGGTCCGGCAATGTGTAACTCATGTCTGAAGACTTTCTCCTGCTGTTTGGTCTTAGGTAAAGACTAACTTCCACAATGATATTTCCGAGTCGAATTTGATATCCGCTGACTCGGAGATCTCAATTCCCAGTTAGGCCCAAAAGCCCCCGGCTTTCCCTCGGGTTGCGTACTTGAGGTGGGAGTACCCATGGCCTCTTGATCTGTGGGTTGAATCCACCTTGCGATGATAAACCGAGACTTTGACAAAAGGGTCATCGTTCGGAACGGGAACATCATGACCGTGCTAGCACGTAGATTAGGAGCATATCTAGTAATTAAGGATCTCTATGGGTAGGCGAGCGCGAGGGACAAATAGAAGAAAAGTTACTCAAACATACTACTTTGACCTTCCAATGGAGATTCTTCTCAAGGTACTGTGACACGTGTTCGGGATCCGTGATCGAGGGCAAGCTGTGGCCACTGGTCGTTGATGCGACATCCTGCGGGGAAGATACGCGGAGGAGTAGTGCGGCGGTGATAGGTATCTGAGCCGTCGACTTTGTTCCCTCAGCGGACTTAACCCTACAGTTTCCGCATCCTGGCGCATTCGGGTTTTGGTAAACCGGATTAGTGAACGTGTATACGTACCCCACGAGGCTCGGGTGGGTGTAGAGTGGTTCTTTGTACTGGTTAATCTCATCTTCATCACCAATGAAGAAATATACGGTATATGGGATGCCATCCAAGGCGAACCTAGAAGATGGTCAACATGATACTCAGTGCGGCCCTTTACAATTGTCTATGCTTGACACGCCTTACCTCTTGTACTCAACGTTGGTGATGATGTCGGCCGGAGCGTTCTCCACCTCGGGAGTACTGTAAAGCTTTTTCAACTGATTTTGGATGTCATTGAGATAGAGCTGCTTGTCGAATTTGCCCTCTGGCTTATACTTAGGTAGCCAGGGTTGAAGCTCGGGGTACGAGTAACCCCACTGCGTCCAGTCCCTAATATCGTCAGATGTAAAGTAAGTTCCCTCAGTGTCCTTGTGAAAAGGAGCCAGTGGAGTTTTCGGAGTGTCATTGGATCCTTCCTTAATCGACCAAGTGCCGTTATCTGGTAGTTGTTCATCCTCCCTTTCGAACCAGTTATCTTTGTTGTCCACGTTAAGGGCTTGCCAGATAGCGAATTGTCGGTCGACATTGCTGTGTGAAGATATATTAATGTCAGGTCTCGCAAGGATAGATTGGGAATCCTACCAATGATGCATGAAGAAGATCGGGTCAAACGCAGCTACTGGAACCTCTGCCATATGTCCGATGTACTTGTCTGCACCGCCGGTCCAGTTGTGAACATTGTTGTGTACAAATTCCAGGTTCAAGTATGATGCTGCCCCATGAGTTTCACTGTATTTTGTTGTGGCGAACTGAGAGAACGAAGTGATGTATTGTGGTAAAAAGAGACGGTATGTCATCTCGGCCAAGGGCACCTTTTCTCCTTTATACCACTTATGGTCGCTGAGTGCGTTGGCCGCCATCTCATTATCGACCACTCCATTCACCCACTCGGCAGAGACATTGGACGAATCAGGTTCGTAAGGGGCCCATCTGCTGGTGCCTTTGGACTTGGAAAACTATGAAAAGAGTTGGACGGTTAGTGTAACATACACATAAATCTGGAGTAAAGGCTTGCTTACCGGAATAGTAGTCTTTTTGTCATCTGACGTCTTACTATCCACGTCTCCAACACGATAAGAACCCATTGCTACTCCACCTGGCATAGTGAATTTGTACATTGGATTGTCGATTTTGACCACGGTTATACCATCCTTCAAGTTAAGAACTTCTATTTGAGGGTCTTTGACAATTACCGGGACATCGTAGACGACCGAGTTGCCTCGCTTCTTTTTCTCCGCCCAATCCCAATAGGGCAATCGGAAGGTGGCAGCTGCGTCATGCCAAACTTTTCGCACATTTTCGGGAAGCTTCTTGATCACCTCGTTCTGCATAATCTCATATAAAACTTGCTGTGATGTAACTTAGTTACGATGGACCTCGTAGCTAGAAGGATTGACTCTATGATATACCTCGAATAGAAGCACGTACGGTCGATGCCAGCAAGGGAAGAGAATGCTGTCGTGAGTGCAGTAACCCTGATTTCGGGTTTGAGCCTGGGTATTCTCATCCCAGGGCTCATAAGGGGATCCATGGATACCTAGGAAGCATAGAGTTTAGTTCTTAGAATTCCAAAGGATGGAATTTCTAGCAGAGCGCTACTAACCGGCGATCTGGAAGTAGGAGAGCTTTTCTTTAGGATCCTTGTCCTCTAGAAAACGTAGAGCCCAGATGAAAAGGCTGTTCTGGAGGAGGTGTTCCTTGGTCTGTCCCGGGTACCAACTGTCAACCTCTAGGCGGAGGGGTACTGTGTCAGGAGTGACACCGGCCTTGATGCCGGTGATTACATATTTTCCCATTTCAATCTAAATTATACGGGTAGGGGAGGGAAATGGTGATGATAAATAGTGAATTAGATTGTAAGTCTTAGAGCGAGTGGTATACTCGAAAGATGCGGATTTCCTTTACTTATATAGTTGAATAGTGTTGGTAAAAACAGTTCGTTAACTCATTGAGCTTGTAGTCCTACCCTTATAGCCTATATTAAAGGCAGGGGTAGATGAGGAATGTTCATGTTATCCCTTTATAGCTGCCTATCCTAATGACGGTATATACTGCGAAGTAGTACAAGCCTTCCTGCAGTCTCACATATTACTCACCTCCCATTGCAGTTACATACCCGGGTATATAGCTTCGTCGTACACACCTCTAAACAAATATCTGGGTACAGTACACTACCGCGAATATTTACGAAGTTAGTATGACACGGTGTCAATTCTCATCATACTGGGAAGCTGACCTGAGCTTCGACTAATAGAACCAAAAGAGGGATGGTAAGACAAGACGGCGTAGTTCGATGTGGGTAACTTCTACCAATTATAAAAGCAATAAACGATCCCTACCATAGAGTGGCGCCAAAACATACGCCGAGTTCTTGCATCTTATGGGTTCAATTACGGCGGATGATCACATCAACATTGCAGCTTTATCAATTAGTGATAGTAGATACTCCGCCCTAAGAATACAATTATGAAGCTATGTTCTGACTCAGATCCTCTAGGTCACCTGGTATGTATCGCCGTTTCCGTCGATAGTTTCAGTCACGTTGATAACGATTAATGGTTCTTATAACGCTACGTTACGTACCTAGGTACCTATGTACCTAAGTTATGATAGCTGCGCTGATGTAAAGATCCAGATGCTTGTTTAATCTTCATCCAAGCCCCCTCTTAAATTCCAGTGGTTACTTCACACTCTGTATTATCTGTCCTGGCTCCCATGGCATAGCTACCTATTTATGTCTGTCATATTTACTAGCGCCCGAGATATACTTACGGTGTTAACCTTCTAAATTCTTAGATGCCCATCGCCACGGGGTATTTTGACAAAACTTGGCGGCTTCAAGAAACGTTTCCATCTATCGCTCCTTATGAGGCTGAAGACAGAAAAAACGGCGTCTATTGGTAAAACATGAGCAAGAATACCGCGTAGCGTAGGACCAGATGCAGCGATAATGCCAACATGAGCCTCAGTAAGGTTCCATATCGAAATCGCCGTAAGTTTTATTACGCATGCTATTAGTCTCGCATCGTATAAAGCGACTTGAGTAATATTAGGTACCTATCATATCTTCAGTATAGCTACCTGTACATGTAGTGATGAATATGTACCCCTTAGCAATGGATGCGCCGACGGAGCTTCTATTCTTAGCTTATAAGTCCACAAACGGGTGTTCCTGTTAGAACTCTAGATCAGACACCTAGAACAAAGGACATGTTCAGTATGTATAGACTTAGACTCCCACTAGTCAGGTTAGAGTTCCTCACGAAACAACTTCGTTGTTTCCACGCTGCTTGGTTCCACCTCGTGACAGTCACAAATCAATTACAAAGCCCCAATCATAAATAATAATAATATCAAGACCTTCCTATGGACACTCATCTGCAATCTCCAAATAAGCGGGATCGGAATAATGAGAGTAATGAAATCTGTTGCAATATCACTTCCCAGCATGCCATAACCGATAGTAAATGCGCCCTTACAATATTGGAAAAATTCCTCCTGAGGGAATGCGGCCGTCAGGTGGGATCCACGTTCCGACAGATCAGCAAGGATAAATCCAACGGTCCACATGATGATAATAGTTATCCAAACGATGAAAAAACGGCGAAATTTAACTATTGCGAATAAGTGCCAGTAAAAGAAGCAGACGGATAATTTAACAAAGCCGGCACCAGCAATTCCTAAGAGGAAGTATGCATAAACGATCCATAATGGTATTAGTAAGTTATCACGTATTTAGTGTGCTTAGGTAGGTAGTTATATGGTGCCTAGATCTAATTGGAATATAGTAGGTTGTATTAAAAAGGAGTAAAAAGGGGTGAGTGTAACGAGCTTGAGTAGATCGCTTATATAGACGCTCAGCTGATTACTAAGCAGGGAGAGCGCACTGGCGCTCCCCACCACGTGACATAAAAAAGGGGGAAATAGACTATTGAATTTAAAAGAAAAGGTGATTCTAGCCTTATCCAAGCGATCGGGAAATAGTTGGAGCAACTGAAGAGCCTTCTATTGCCCATCCTACTCTAGCTGGATATCCTAGATATGTAAAATGGCAAGGGACGCGGAGTAACTGAATGTATATAAATACTTCCATCGTTATTCTAAATTGCCCGCTTTACGTTTCTTGGCGGCGAATAGGTTATAAAATCCTATGGCATACCGTGCTATGTCTCTCCACATTATAGAAGTCTTAGATCCTACCAGAGTAACTATTAACGTGGACGTGGTGTTACTATGGCTTCCTCATGTATCACACCCCTAGTTTCTCATTGAGAGTCCTGATATATGCACATCGCTCGAACAGCTTTTGGTGGTTCAGGTTTCGCTGTCTTTCCTCAGGGGCTGTGGAGTCCATTTCTCCAAATTCTACGTCAGCCACAAAGGGAACCTGCATACTGCCCCTTTCCGAACCCAAGTTAGTAGTGTAATTCTCCCTACGCAGGAAAGAAGAACCTGTTCCCAGTGGTCCACCAATGAGCTGCAAATTGAATCCGGAAAGCTCCGATTCCAAACGTCGATCTTCGCTCTTTGTAAATGATTCTGGCCATAACCTGAAGCCTTCGTCGTCTGCATAGGCGGGATTACCTGTGTAAGCGAAATAGATGAAAGACGCAGTCACTGATCTTGATAGCTTCTTGTCTTCTTCTGAGACCTGGCCTTCGGGGAACAAGCCATTGAAAATATAATTAGTATCACTGCCGTGGGCCACACCTACATATGGCATTCCGGCAGCCTTGAATAGCGGGGTAAACATGGTCTGATTCAAGGCGTAGAGGCGAACGCCAGGAAAATTAGGATCGATTACCCTGGACTGTCTAGATACTTCGTATCCGAAGTCGATTGACGAACATGTGAATAAAATGTCACGTAGGATACGCGAAACACGGAAGTAGTGGACAGAGACAACCGGGTCTGAGTCACCCTTTCGAGCTTCGTAGTTCCGTACGTCTTCCTCAAAGTCAGAAAAGGGGTAGTGAGAGAAAAGAGTCTCGTAGTCTTCATTGGTGAGGGAATGAGCAAATCTTTTGATTGGACCCTTCATGTCTTCCTCGCTTTGAATTTGGGTAGCAGGACCAACGTTCGTAGCACCATCGTCCTGTGTCCAACCGAGGACCATCGGGATACCTATAATCCATTAGATTTACCAGAGAAAGATGCTCAGATTAGATACTGTACCTTTGACGAATCTCCCCGATTTATACAACACAGATTGGCGGTCCGGTAGAAAATCGCCATCGACCGACGGAATGAAAGTGAAAAGTCCAGCAGGTGGGTGATTATTTATTGAATATTCCATAGCCGTTTCTAGGAGCTTCTCCATTGGTACTTTACGTAAACACTCAAGGACTTCGTCCTCTTTGTCGCTCTTACACTCTAACCTTTCTGCTACAGCGCGTGTATGTATATCCGTTGCATCGCTAGTACTGTTGAGAGCAGTGCCGGGTGGACCAGACATCGCCCAAATTTGTGTAAATGGCACGCCTCCTCCCTCGCCTCCATATGCCATTGTGTGAAGCGAAGAAAAAGTGCCGCCAGCACTTAACCCAAATATAGTGATCCTTTCTGGATCACCACCGAATGATGCAATATTATCTTTGACCCATTGAAAACCTAGTCTTTGGTCCCGCATTCCCACGTTGAGAGACTTCTGATCTTTTAGTATAGAAAGGCGCGCGAAGCCGAAGATGGTGAGACGAAAGTTTATTGCGGCAAATATAACAGGCTTTCCAAGCGAGGCCGATAATGTGATCAAGTTCTCGGGATCCGCATGGGAATCGTGTGCTGAGCCTTTGATAACTCCACCCCCAGGAAGCCAAATGACCACGGGGAGCTTATCTCTGGCAGTAGTTCCCACAGGCCTTGAAATCTGGAGATTAAGGCAATCTTCACTAACCTCCTGAACCTCGTCAAAAAATGGTGGTATACTAGATTTAAACTGGGGGCACGGTCGGCCTGGTACTGTAGCATCAATTTCGCTTCCCGCTGGTGGCGTGTAAATCTCTGGAGGAGCGAAGCGTCGCTCACCAGAAGTATCACGACCGAATCTGATATTCTGGAAGTGTTCGATCGATCCACTAGTGAAGCCTCGATAAGTAACATTGCTGTTTTGAAGTTTCCCAACAGCACCCGCAGTGACTGAGGCTCCCAATATGAGGCCTAAAAAGGCAGTTTGTAGTAGGCTAAACTGCATGGCATCAAGCTTTCAAGTGCTAGGCCTGGAAGCTTCTCGATTAAAATAAATAAATGAAGAAATCGGACAAAGGAGGGTCGCTGTCAGAAGGAACCCTTGATGTATGTTATACGTAGAGTAAATATGAGAAGCAGCAGCGAAGCTGCTATATAGTAGCCGTATAGTAGTATAAATCTATTAACGCTTAACCTTCTATCCTCTTGAAAAGGCGCACAGCGCCCCTTATATATCTATCCTACATAGATCTAACTATGCTTAATTCATACTAGCTTCACTTATACCCTGACAGTCGCAAGGGCGAATTTTTCAATTCAAGCTAGGGCTAAAGGAAGAGAAGGAATCCTAACAGATTAAGGCACCAATCACAAGGTGTTGCCATCTCCAGTTTATTGTTGGGGGACTGGGTTTATGTAGTTCTCACGCCCTTTACGTGGACTCTTTGCAATTAGGAGGCCGACATGTAGAAGTATGATACTAGAAACTGGGACTTATTCCGGTAGGCTAGTAAGTGTTATGTATAGCGGACGCGGGTATATATATAGATAAGTACACTTCCAAATAAAGGCTTTGATAATAGGTAGTTCCTCAATCATGAGCTTTTCTGGATTAGGAGGAACTTCGTAAATGAATCCAGACCAGAGTAACGAAATACAAGGATATCTTCGGCCCTGCATAGATAGAAATTTTACTAAATAAAAGGAGGGTTACGGGACACGACTCATGTTATTCTTAAATGCCAGTGTCAATTTCATTCTTCCTTGTATTATTGATAGACTATAACGGAGGCCACCTTAAACTGCAATGACATAAAGTCAGGGGCCTAATTTTTAGTAACCATACCAACGGGGAGTTGCATAGCAACTCATTGTCCCGTTCGTTGCCAGAGTCTTAGATACATTAAATAGGTTGATGCCTAGTGTACCTAAGCAACCGGTTTCTAAGGTCTAAGTCTCTGTGTTTACGTCTATAGGTATTTAAGACTGTTTATGTCCGAGTTTTTCTATTCTTAAACCTTCTACTATAGGCCGCAACAAATTCATTTACAATCAATCCCCTAACATACCTCCTAAAATACTACCAGTCCTACACCTAAAATCAAGCAAACGGCGCTGGCTCGCTTTTTCGGCGCCGCCCGTCGTGCTAGACGAATCTACTATACCTACCTAACCATGGCTTCACACGTGCCTCGACCTGTGGCTCGATATGTGCCAGACGAGATTTTACTGATGATTTTCTCGTATGTCAAACTACCACATAATATCGGGTCTCTACATCCCAATATGGAAAGAAAGGGCCTTGAAACTTTGAAAGCCCTGGTCCGTTGCTCGAAGCGGTTCCATCGCATTGCGAAGCCTCTCCTATATAAGACAGTATACGTTCGTAATACTTTCGAACGTCACGCGCTTATCAGGGCACTCTCGAGGCAACCAGACCTTGGCCGGCTTATTCATAACTTCCTATTAGATGACATCACTTATATTCATAAATGCCCACACCCACGCCCACGCTCACGCCCACGCCCACGCTCACGCCCACGCCCAATTCTCGACCGCAACATAGTAAATAACGAGATCGAAAGCCCACAGAGGAAATTTGCCCTACCCCCCGTAATGATGAAACGAATGTTAAAGAGCCTCAGCTGTGACTCAGAAGTTGCCTTTCTACTTGCATTTGTACCGAACCTGAAATATTTGTTCTTAGATCTACCGATCGGCACGGGCGTGTTGGACATCTTTCAATATGTTACAGGGAAAATTAAGCCTAGGCCTAGGGGACGACTAGGAGCTCCTGGAAACTTTAGACTTCTATCAAAAGGCCACTTCTCGGAACTGCAAAACATAATACTAGGCAGTCGTATATTCCCGAGAGATCCTGATTCAAGAATATTCGCAACACTTGGCAATTATGTCGGATCGTCGCAGAAACTTGATAAGAGTCAACAATTAATTGTAGCGATATTCGACTTTCCCAATCTCATCTCGTTTTCCATTGGTCGACTCTTTTGGGGCAGATCGATGTTAAACAAGATCCCCGCGGTTTTAGGCCTACGACACATAGACCTCGATGTGATATGGCTAAATAGCCGATGTTTAATAAATTTACTCACCCAATGCCCCAATCTCTGTAGCCTCAGATTTGCGACGCCCAACTACGAGTATAGAGAGAATTTCTCCATCTCATTAGAGGCAGTGGGTAATTTTCTAAGAGACAGTATAGACTCCTGCCTTGAGACACTTGTTATCGAGCAACCTGTACCTCCATACCCGGTCTTAACTCCATACGGATACACAGGTATAATTGGACCTCTTAGAGAGCTTCGAAATCTGAGGACGCTCCATATTCCTCTACACTTCTTGGTCGGCAATCGATACCTTGAGAAGAGCCTCGATGAATGGCTACCGGATTCGATAGAATCTATTCGTATCACCAAACGATGCGTATATAATTCTGAATTTATTCGCTACGTACATGATCAAGTCATCCAGATGGTCTCGAAGGGGACAGTGCCCAATCTCCGAGAAGTACGGGCTGGTCTTTGCGGAGGGTCCCCTTTCTGTATTGCACATTACTTGAAAAATGTTGGACGACCTGGTTGGACTGTTCGGTATGCACTACAAGATGACGATCTTCGAAAGCAAATAAATCCGTGGCCTGAGATACTCGAGGTGATTTAACGCAAGTAAATGGGTAGGCGAGCTCTATGCGTATCCAGCCCGTTGCCTAGACTTAATATGGTCACGGAAAGCCATATAATAGGTACTAGAAGACCTCTAGAACTCGCCCCATTGAGATTTCATCTAAAGAAGGGGCTATTTTAGGTACTATTAAGGCTTATACCAACTAACATTCGCTTGTACGACTATCTGTCGTATTTAGATGGACTTCACTACACTAAACTAGAGTAGGTAGTAGAGTGTCTTGTACTAGACTCATAAATATATGATGAGGTTGCCAACCATCCGGATGCTTATATTTCGTTTTACTACCTCATTATCAATATCAATCAGGCCGCTTAATACACCATAAGGACATAGGTTGCTAATTGCTATTACACCTACCTTAATCCCCATCCCTTCCTTATGGCTAAGGTAGTGTCACTGTATATTAGTGCCTCATGTCAGCTTTCGACCCACCCTCTTCCCCTATTACCAAGTGAATATAACGAGGCAACCTCTATATTAATTCATTACGTATCCTGGGGTCGGCTTGGTATAAAGACCTAAAATTAAATTAACTCTTTGTCAAAAACATGCGAGGAAATACGTTGAATCACTCACGTGTAAGAATTAGCAGTTTCCCAGTCAGTTACATGAGTCCCCAATACAGCTAACGGTGTTACTACGTAGTACACGACGCAAAAGTTCCCATTTTCCCAATCCAGTCATATAATCAAGCCCTCTAAGTAGTACAGTGAGTAAGGACAATGATTGCTTAGGCATGGGACCTTTCAGAGGCTGCCTTTAGTATTTATAAAGAGTCTACCTCCGGTATTATCATACCAACTCCCCTGAAGGTTAGCTTAACATACATAAGCCAGCCAATAACAAATAAGATCGATAAAGCATCAGGAGTCCAGACGAAAGATGGCCAGATCAAGATCTTCGAGCTCTTCTAGTAGCAGTTCTTCTAGCAGCAACTCATCTAGCCCTAAAAAGTCTCGCACGGAACGAGCAGCGAACGATGGAGAGCATCAGAACGCACACAAATATTCGGCTTCTGATATCGTAGCCCAGCTCCCATCTCTATGGCGCTACATGCGGCGCGATTCCTCGTTCGGGCCCGAAGCCACCGATGGGAACGAGGGAGTAGCCGAACAGAGCAACGGTATTCTTAGTATGCCCTTGTTTCGAGGCCGCTGGCAGTCTACTAAATCCGCAAAGAAGGTTCCGACCTCGCGATCCCATAGTTCGGAACCCCTGTTGCGGTGCGATAACGATATGCCCGAAGCTCACCAGAGTTATCTGTCAACGGCAGAACGAACCGATGAGGAACAGTCGTCAAAGACTTGCAAGAGCCGCTTGCGGAACTGCTGGGGTGGTCTACTAGTGTACCTACGACTTCGAGACGCATAGGTAGTATGGTAGTCTGCCTGTCTGTTTGTCTGTAAGAGGAGGGGGTCTGTGCGTAGCTTTTTGACAACTAGGGGAGTTTAGTTTCATGCGTATCTTGCGGTCGTATTTGCGACGAGGGCATTTCTGATAAATATAAGTCCCATCTACTAATTAGTATTAATACCGTATTAATTGAAGGTCTACATCAAGTATTCTCTCATAAGCCCTGAAACAACCGAACGTTCGAAATGGCACGCAAGTTATTTCGCACAGAGCATCACTACTGGCGTGATGATAGATAATATATATTCCGGACTGGTTACAGGGGATCGTTTTAGCCAGGGGTTATATTCGGTAAGTTCCAGAGATCTTTCCGAATGGCGTCAACGGCTCCTCCACATTCTGCCCCCAGGTTATCCCCGTTTGTTGTAGATTGGCTCGGAGCATCATTCTCCATTTTGAGGGTGATCTACAAACCCACCGCGAGCGCTTGGCGTGTTGGCATTCAATCTCCCGGCCCGTCGGGTTGTATCTTGTTAACATGGGGCAGAAGTAATTGCGAGTCCGCATACATAAAGCCGCAACGATGCCCTTCAATTGTTCACGAGAACGTTTTCCGCACAGCTCGACAAGATGATATCCTCAACCCTCTTCACCGGCCTCCTACTCGCCTCATCGGCATCCGCCCGCCCCGCTAAGCGCGGCACGGGGGAGATCAAGTGCCCCGTGGTCCTTAGCGGATTCGTGCCGGCGGACTTGACGCCAACGGACTTCGACTCGTACGCGACGAGCCCCTTCAACCCCGACTACATCCGCGGCACCGAGAAATTCTCGGAGATCCTACAGTTCCCGGAAGTTGAGGCTTCGCGCTTCGATAATGCTAGTACGAGGGCCGTCGAGGTCACTATCAACGACAAGTCCATCTTCCAGAAGCAGAATGGTTTCCGCCGTGCCGGTCTCCAGATCCAGGGAGACACGAATGAAGACAGCCCCGGTACCCAGGGTGTGAAGACTTTACACTTTAGCGTCAAGCAAGATGCCGAGAGGACTTTGAACTTGACTCATGAATACTTGGTACGGGCCCAGTTCTAGAGAAAGCAGTATCCGTTTGAAGGAAAGGGATACATGGTTACGAGAGAATAGGGGCAATCCGGCTAACCAAGACATTGAAATTCTAGAACGTCTGGCACGAGAGCGCAGACTACAGTGCCAATCAATTCAACTTCCAGAGCGGTACCATCATCGGCAAGTCGGGCAGCGACAAGAGCAGCTTCAAGGTCTTGAACCGTCAGAATACCCAAGTGTGGTCAACCCCCATCGATGCCACCGCCTGGCAAAACTTTGCTATTACTCTCGACTTTGTGAAGAAGTAAGTCGATGTCTTCTAAAGTTATTTGGTAAGTCGTGCATGAAGATCTATATGCTGACCTGAAATTCCACACAGCACCCTCCAGGTGTACTACTCAAAGGACGACGAACCCCTCAAGGCCGTCACCGAGGCGTTACAGAACGACAACAGCGGCGGTGGCCAATACCAGATCGGCATCCTGAAGAAGCCCACAGGTACTTCCGACGTCGTCAACTCTGGCTACCAGGAGACTGGCATCAAGGAGGGCCAAATCTACGGAGGTATCTTCCTCGAGGACAGCGCAGACGGCTGCATTTCGCTGTAAACTTGTGCTTTAAGGATACTAAAAAGAGCTTAAAACCCAAGTAACTGGGGGGAAAAGCCTTAGATCTCGGAGCACATATTATAGAAATAAAACTTATGGGTATCACATAACTACCTCCTACCCGTACTCACTAGGTCGAGAAGTGTCAAGGCAGAAATAAAAACGAGTGACGGTCACGAAAATCAAGTGAGTATAAAATTTTATATAAACAGAATTTTCCAATTTTTAACTAAGTTGCATAAAATTTCGTAAAAACATAAGTCATCGTGTCGGCGTTACAAGTCATCACACCGAGCTTTACATACAAATCGTGCCGCCACCAATCTACCTACCATGATATCCTAAACAATCTAAACCCCTATAATAACAACAACATACCTACCCAATAAGCAGCCTCAATTCCATTTCAATTATCGCGTAACCCCGTCATCCCCCGCTTCCGCTTCAGCAAGGGACGTTCAGCCGTCCCCGCGTCCACCGGCGACATCTGCTCGGGCGACTTGGTCAAAGCCTCGGCCATGACCAGAGAGTCGTAGGAGCCCTGTCTGGACTGACTGGGTAGTTCAACACGGTCGTCGGGCGAGGCCGCTGGGGCTTTGCTTAGACTACCTGGTTGAGATACCTCCGCGTCAAACGGGTCGGGGTGGAAAGGGTTTAATAGACGTAAGGGGGTCGCCAGGTCCTCCGCTTGTTGGCGCGACCATTCGGTCGCGAAGAACGAGTTGGAGGTAGGTCTGGTTCCCCTTGTGTCCTCTAGGAATAGCGATTTATTGCCACCGCTACTTTGGCCATTTTTGCTTGTTGCATCAGCTTCAAGGATAGCCGGTGCCCTTCGCATCTCTGCCAAGGACCGTTGCTGTTGTCGAAGTTTCCGCATCCTGTCTTCTACTTCCGCTATATATTGTGACGAATGTGTCACATCATCGCTCTCGACAGTATTTTTATTCTTCTTGTCCTCCGTATCTACTTCGACATCGCTCTCGGAGACCCCTAACTTACTATTTATATTACGCCATTCCATCGCAAACGGCACGGCTGTGTTCGGCGGCTCCCAAGGGATGGTAGGGGTAGTGGGAGTCGCAGGCCGCGATGCTGGCGCTGCGGACGTTGCCCTCGATGGGGGCACATATTCAGTAGATTTCTTCACCACGCTATGCACTATGAAGCTAGACTCCGGCTCGATGCCTGTCCGTCGTAAGTTTAGATGTAGGCCTTTACTAAATCGTTGACACGCACGTTCTCTGAACGACGGCTGTTCCTGCTGCGGATGGTCTGATATCCAAGCCCCGCGCGAGGGGCTCGGCGAGCGGGAAAGCCTTTTTGTAGATGTAGTAGAAGGGCGACAGGAGGAACATGTAGATGCAGAAGACGAAGGCCGAGCGCGTGACATACGTCGACCTCGGCTTACCGTTGAAGCTACAGACGAAGGGCGACTAATAGATTCCGGAGAGCACGTGTTAGTTGGATCGATGTAAGATTCTTCTATCTGGCATGGGCTGGAATCATCATAGTGAGCATTCTGGTAGTACTGAACTAACTGTTCGGTGATGTGTAAGGGCTGAGCACTACTTCGTACAGCCGGGTCTGTAGTTTGAGGCGTGAGCGGGCGTATGTCGCTACCAAGTTCGCTACGGGCATCTTCGTTCCTAGCACTTTGCCTCGTGAGAGCTCCATGGAATTCCCCCAATGACGGCCTTTGTTGACTACCGCCCTGGTTGATAGGACCATACCTGGTTTGGGCCCTCTGCCGCTGCTTTTGGGGTGTTGAATGCGGCCGATACTCGGACCGAGGAGGACTTGTATTATTGCTGATGTCTATTTCCGACTTGCGTGAAGAAAGCACATAAGCTGGCTTCTGCGGTTGCCAAACAATAGAGCTCTCGCGCATCTCTTTACCTTCTATCCTATCTTGCCTACTCCCCTTGTTCGGGGTAGGGGCGAGCGAGACCGGACGCGAGATAGGACGCGAGATAGGAGGATAAGTCCGGGCTTGTTTGGGGTCATTACTTTTCTTCTTCTGATACGAATCTGCCGTCTTGCGAGAGTTTTGTGTTAAAGCATCATAAGCAAGTGCCCGGTGGTATGAGAGAGTTAGTAGCTCTTCATCTAACTCGTCCTTCTCACGAGGCTTATGAGTGAGATCTACGCTCGTAGTATCCATAGTAGCTATGTCGGCGGCGATGAGACACTACCAATAACAAGCTTAGTATCGCTAGGGCACAGGTCGCTAGCAGCGTCCTACTGGTTTATCTACAATGTAAAGGACACGGATACGAGAGAATTTAGTATGATGGATAATATGCTAGGATCCAAGTCAACCCGGGCGTAATGGCAGTCGTGAGAGAGCGCTGTTTTCACGAGCGGGCGAGCATTGGAAAAGGGAGGGCTATTGGTTAAATGGAGTAGGTAGTGATGTTGCTGTCTAACAACGATAGGAACAACTACCGTTGTTAAATATAGTATACGGAAAAACAACGATCGGCAATAACTGATGGTTGGAAACAAAGATCAGATCCTTGACAATGGGATTGTTTTTAGGTCTTTTGAAGAGACATTGCTGTTGTTTCCTTTGGTTAGTGGAATGTCCGTGATCTCGCGCGAGCGGACAAAGAAGGTAAATAATCGTAGACAAAAGGACCTTGTACCTTGAGTGACGAAGCTCTAGATGCTATCCGAGTTTTGCTAGACTATGGAGGTCCTGCTCTGAGTGATTAGATCCAGTAGTAGACGGCTTGGCGAGGGAACTGTTGGCCTAATTATCAGGGTCTGTAGTTTGATATGTCGAGGTGTACCTCAGTACCCGTCCCTAGGTACTAGATCCCATATTTCAAATCAAGACATCCGGATGCATGTATTACGAGAACTTCATCGTCGAGCTTCTAATAGTAGAGAAGCGGCAATCCGGTCGAACTCCCACATTCATTATCTATGCGATCTCTACTGTGGCAGTTATCGTAAGCTTATGTACAGCATAATGTCATATTAATGAGCTAAATGCAGTCATTCTGGTGCTTTGAATCGCCCCTTTCGCAACTGCTATGCAATATAATGCGACTTCTGGGGCTACGGCTTATTTTCCCAAGTAGAAAAGGGGTTTGCCGTTTACCCCGATCTAAATCCAGAGAACTATTCTCATATCCACAATATCCGTAACGCCGACGTCCTATCGAACTCCAAGCTGCGGAATAATTGTGGTCGAGACGCGGTGCCCATTCGAGGGAACACGAATCTTCTAAACTCGTAAAGAGTATATACAACGTCACTGCACGTATTTTTGCGGGCGTCTTCTGGCTAAGTACTTGCTTAATCTTACTTAGAGGACCACCGCGCTATTGAGCCCTCCGGCGCTAATCTCTGGAGAATGAGATATATAAGTAGCTAGGCTACATATTGGTAGGCCGGAGAGCCATCGGCTAACTCCGCTCGATCAAGGTATTCGCGGGCTATTAATGCTTCGATTCGACGCTTAATAAGCGGGATATCTGGCTTGAACCGGCTTGCCAGGACCTGAATAACTTCTGTAATGAGCTGGGAATGGCCAAGCTCCTTACGTTGCCTGATTCGGTAGGTTAGCTATATTCCCCATGCTAGGTATTCACATTGGACTTACTTCATTATACGGACGACAGCAGCGTCAGTGACGTACATTCTCGTCTCTTCATTCTTCTGGTCGGTCTCCTTACGCTCCTCGTCGTTTTCTACCCTATTGGCAGCATTTACCGAAGGCACCTTAATCTTGATTGCCTTGCTAGTAAACTCGCGATTGAATGTAAATCTATCGCCAGGTTTAGCCGCTGCTTTTGTCTGCGACTCCTTTAGGAGAATGCGGTATGCTTTAATCACCGAGAGTGATGTCAACACATTGATCAAATCAGACTGTGGGATGTTCGTTTCTTCCTGGATACGCTCAAACGATAGCCATTCGTCCTCGGCGACGTCGTTAAAAAGCATGATCACGATCATACCATATGTTGACACATTAAGTTCGTAGCGACGCTCTTTGCTGAGGGGTCCAGAGGCTTTGCCAGGAATCTTTGGAAATACGCATTTAATATCCGCACTCCCTGCGCTTGCGACCCAAGTGAGAACGCGACCGTTTCGGTTCAGACTGTAGAACTTAAAGAAACTATCTTGAAGTCCCTGGATCTCACGTGGATAGATGATCTTGCCTCTGGACCCATCTGCGAGGCCAGTGCGACCCATAATCTCCTTGGGCCAATTGTTGCCGGCAAGAACACTGATGTTGAAATCGATATGTTTCTCATCCACATCGCCAAGGCCGCGGATATGATCGCGATAATTCTCTGTCTCCTCTTTAGAGGTACGCATATCCCTAAACATACCCTCAAATTTCTGCGTGAAATTATTACCTAGCTCTCGCTTCATGCGTGAAATCATCTCTTGCTCGACCTCTTGACTCTCGGATTTGGCATGTAATAATCGACGGGCTAGGTGTTTTTGGTAATACTGCTCGAACTTATCTTTCTCGCCGAGATATCGAAGCAGAGTTATCGCCTTGTCGAGGACAATATCAACTTCAGCCTCAGTCTTGCCCTTAATACCTCGTTTGAGATTATCGTCAATAAAAAGCGAGACATATTCCGAACTTCTATTAAATGCGTTGATGAAGTCGGCAAAGCTCTTCGTTAATGCCGTCTGTAAAATGAGATCCTCTTCGAAACATGTTCTCCAGTACCCATCATACTTATCTTTGAGGATCAGGACATCATCAACCCATTTGATAGCGGCTGCTGTTTGCTGCGCCGCAGCATTCAAAGTCTTCGGTTTAGACTTTTCTGCGCCATCTGCTGGTTCCTCTGCATCTGCTTGTTGCGCTATGCTGAAATCGGTGTTCTTGAGTGTCTGCTCTATTTCGGTGCCCTGTTCGATAACCCGGATAGAAAGAGCCTTGCGCAAGACAGCCTTTTTCGGATCGACACGCGATATGAGCTGATAAAGAATGCTAAGATCCTCGAGCCTGTCGTTATCAAGCATTGCATTGATACCACTTCCTTCTATACCAAGGAATTCATCCATATGTTTAACAATTAATTCCTGTTCGACTACTTGCGTGATCTTCTGTTGAGATAACGGAGAAACCGTAGTCTGACATCGTTCGGCCTCTTCGGCAAGACGTCTCTGCGTATATCTAAGCCACGCGCTGGCATCGCCCTCACGAAGAAGCTTCTCGCACTCGGCCTGGTAGAAGGCCTCACTGCTGCTGATGTAGATGGGCTCGAAGGTAGTCACATAAAGCTGCTCATTGTCATTTTCTTCGTCCGTTTCGAAGAGAGCCTCAAACATCGAAATACAGCTGTGAAGCAACGCCTTATCAATAACATCGCCCTCTCTTTCCATATTGATCTGGTCGATGATAGTGGCATTAAGAATATCGAATATGGGATAGTCAACCCCGTCCTGTTTGAGGGATGATTTGAGGATATGATCGCGGAACAGGCCGATAGTTGTGGTATAAATCGAGGGTCTGCTATGATCCTGGACATAACCACGCTCGAGGTACATAAGGACATCTGCGATCATGTTCATCGAAAAATTGTGGTTCTCCCATGAAGTACGGATCCCCTTTATGAACTTCTCACCCATGGCACGTCGTTCTACCACGCTTGTTCCGGTGACTTCTTCGAGCGTAACGCTAATTAGGTTGCTGGTAACGAGACTCCGGATAGGAGGTATCACCTCATCTGCAAACCATTGTTCTTCGAATTCCTTGACCCTATCATAGAGCTTATGACCCGCCTTTTTAAGGACGATCTTATACGAATATCGGTAGAGTTGTTCGAAGGAAAGCTTGCCAGCATTACGAAGGTGTATATCGCGCAAAGCTTGGCGGAGCTTCTCCCAGCACTGTTCGAATTCGTCGGTGCTACTAGACTGGTTCGTAGGCTATAACACAATCTTTAGCATATTACTAGATGATGATACGATGTAGAAGCGGAGGGTAGAGAGGAAGGCTAGGGAGATCAAGCATAGGCGGGAAGATATGCCAAGGAGGGTTTGCGCAATACTCAAGAGACAGCACGAACCGACGGAGTGGTTTCGTGGATCGTCAGGAACCACAAGAACTCGTCCAGAGGGCTAGAGACTTGAAGGATACTCTCAGAACTGTATCGAGAAGAAGACTCAGGTTAAAGGGGATATGGGTTCGGAAGATACGACTTACCCTTCGAGGAGGCCGAATACGGCCACCTCGCATCATGGAACCTCCTCGGCCGCTAATCATTTTTCATAGTCTCGTCTGTATGAAGTTATAATTTATTTCTTGTTGCGCATATGAAATATGGCAAGGCTATACGAGGTAAAGTTGGACCTGGATGCAGATGTGAAGTATTAATGGAATGCAGTGAACTATTGATGCATCTCCGCTAAGCGAAATAACTTGAAAGAGCTCATGCTAAATTATAAAAAGATGCCCAAGCAACATGGAAGATGGAAAATGGAAAATGGAAAATGGAAAAAGAAGTAGAAAGTCTAAGAAGTCGCCACACGGTTACGGTTGTTCACGTCGTAGTTGCTACCGTGTATAACGGCAACTATCAAAGTTGTTTCACAGCTCCGCTTGCATTTCGGCGTTGTATAGAAGGAGCTTCTTATGGTTGCTATGGAAGGAATCGGGTTAAGTGTTCAACACGACATGCTTTCGTGCTTTAATGTTTTAATGCTTGGTACTTTGGTCCACGCGCCACAAGACGTGGGATATCGCTTGGGTTCCATGTAACCTTAATTGCCCCTCGATTTTCGGCCTAGGAATATCTTAGCTACCGCCTAGGCTGTAATCTTATCGATAGGCTTATTGGCCCTTGCATATGCCTTATTTGATTATCTAATAATAAAAACCTTAGAGCCTTAGAGCACTCATTACGTAGCCGACACCCATACGTAATTGGTTTAATTACATCCGTTAACAAAGGTTCATATTTGATATTTTATATCTATTCCAACTACAATATGGCTTCCAGATCAACATCCCGCTTATTATTTAATTCAATTCTCCGCTCCCCAGGAACTCTCTCCCCCTCGGTCCTCAATCTCCGTCCCTACATATCACTCAATTCACCAACTACCTACCGGTTTGCTCATGCCATACCTAGGCCACCTACCTCGAAACCTTCGACCTCAGCATCGGCCTTTAAGAAGCATACTCCGTCAAAGCGTACCGAGCCTCACTACGAACTAACATTTACTTGCGTACCTTGCAGCGAGCGCTCCACACATACCATAACGAAACAGGGCTACCATCATGGATCGGTACTCATCACCTGCCCGTCTTGTCGCAATCGCCACGTCATCAGCGACCACTTGAATATCTTTGGCGATCGTAAGATTACCGTCGAAGATCTTATGAAAGAGAAAGGACAACTGGTGAAGAGAGGTACTCTTGGCGAGACCGGCGATGTTGAATTCTGGGAAGACGGGACCGTAAGTCATCGAAAGCGAAAGCGAAATATTGCTGCCGCTAGGGATACCGTAGAAAATGATTCCGCGGAAAATAAGCAGGGAAATTCAGATAATGCTTCGCTCTCGCGAGAGGCGAGGGATCCCTCATCACAATCTACGGACCCTACACCTACAGCCTCGGCGCCGTTGGGGATCACAGGCGCTCGCCCGTCAGTGGACAGCACTCAACATACAGATCAAGTCCCATCAACACGACGCCAATAGCCGATGGCAGCGCAGCCAAATAGCTACAACTTTCGAAATAATTTACGGTTTTATAGAAGGCCCTATGGCATCGAGCTAAAAGGGAATTGCGAGATGAGTGGATAAAATAGCCATCACTTCGCACAGCATCGATACTAGTTCGGGTAGAAACTAGCCAATAACCAAAGCGCGATATTACCATTACTATCACCGTATAATTCGAGCGCAATCGGTTCAACGAACGGGACGCTAGCCATCATTAGTGATGCGCTACTAAATTGCGCAATGGTCTCCAAAGGCTTTTTCATCGCATGCGGTATTATCGAGGCTGGCTGAAGGTAGGAACTTATATCCCCAACTCGTTGGAGTCGACGTTTGGTACGAATGAGTTAGGAATAAGTTTCTTACTCGTCGAACTTAGCTCATATATTGAGTTGCGAACATCTTTTTTCATATGGGGGGCCGTTCCAGACCGTGGAAGTGGACATAGCCACCCAAAGGCGAGAGGGGCGCCCACGAAGCTTAGATGCCATTACGAGCGGATGATAGCACATGAAAATGGCTAGCAAACTAGAAGACCTAGAATTTGTCGCGCTATTGAGGAAGGATCATCAACCGATGTCAAAATCGGGATTCGAGGAACTTGTTAATAATATGAAGTGTCTGGTACATTCCCCTGGCCTTCTGTATATACACCCCACTCATATATTGTACTATATTCCCCTACTATTCCCATTCTCAAAGATGTTAAGAACGGTACACTACCTGTAACCCTCTTCATAATGAAGTGTCAGTGTACCGCGGGTCCCCTAGGTTAGAGGAGATACTCTACCCTTTGGAAATAGTGAAGACCTGCAGAAACCCCATGACAAAAGAACAGTTAATACCATATCACATTACTTTATATGCGAAATTAAATTAAATTATCCCATTTTCCTATTCTAATCGTGCCTTACCAACACCAGCCACGCTTTAAGCATAGCATAGCAAATAAATATACACCACCCAACAGCTCCCCTAATACTCTCTCCGACGATTCCGATTCTCCAATCCCCTCTCCTTCTTGCGCTTGACCTTCTTCTCTAGACGGCCCTTCTTCCACTGTCCGAAGCGCTCCGGCTGCGTCACAGCCTCGATCTTCCTCTTCTTCGACCTGCTCTCGCGACGGCTTCTGGCGCGATCCCGCACGGCCAGCAGCTCCGTCGTGTATTCCGCAGTACCGAACTTCTTCTGTAGAATCTCCATGGTTTCCTCTGCCTTCGTCTTCAGCCCCTCGCATCGCGTTTTAAAGACCTCGTTAAGCGAGAACGGTGTTGGGATCGAGGGGTCGGTGAGATGATGTAGTGGCGTGAGTAGAATGTTAAGCGAGGGTCGCAAGGATGTTTCAGGCAGGGTCGAAGTCAAGATGGATATTATATCCAGTGCCGCGACTTTAGGGATAAGAGCATCGGCTTTAGGCGGCGTCTCTTCAACGAGAATTTCAGACAGCCAGACAAATAACGTATGAAGAGTGATGTTATAAGCCTTCTCCCTTTCGCCGTCATCAATGCCACCCCACTCATCGTCACTGTCTTCAGAGCCTTCTACCTCGTTGTCGGAAGATTCAGAATCTACCGAACCAATGTCTAAGAATTTGCTCAGCATCAGAATGACACGGCTAACTTCGGCAGCTAGAGCCTCATCTAGTTCCACTGAGTTCTCAATAAGAGTTTTCCCGTAGCTATCATCAAACAGTGTGGAGCTGTTTTTCTTTTGCAACCTCCTTTTCCATCTCCTTAGAGTTGCTGGGCTTAGGACGCCTACAGCATAGAGCGTCAGTTGTCCGACTATATGCGGTTGTAATCGAAGACCGTGGGATCCAAGAATAGCCTGGTTATTGACAACGTTCTTATTATTGTCGTAGAAATCAGTCAGGTATATTCGTAATAACCGCACGCTTGAGACTTTAACAGTGGGATCTGGGTGTGAGAGGGGATTTGAGATAGACTGCCACAGCCTCTCATTTGCCAATGTTACTTCTGGGTGCTTCTCAATAAGTATCGGTATCGTCCGCAGAATTGTATCGATCAAATCGGAATCATTTGAAGTTGAACAGTCACCCAAAACATTAGCTGACGTCGCGAGCAAGAGGTCCAAGTCTTTACGGTCTCTAGACGCAGGTTCCCTGGCTTCGAAATATAACGTAAACGCTTGGACCGCTAATTGCAAGACCGAAGAGTTGTCATCCTGCTCTATCCAAGCCCGCATAAGCGACAGAAATTTCGATGTTCGCTCTCTATCTGCTTTTCGAAAGATCTCTTTAAGCAGTTCGCCGGCTGCCAAGCGACACTTTTCGCTATCGTCGTTGACCATGACGAAAACTAGAGGGATGAAACAAGTTGTTGCAATTTCCTGCACGAAGTCATCGGCAGATTTCATCAACAAGAGATGAACAATTTCCATGACAGAGAGACGACCGCCTTCCCTCTCATATTTCAGATTTGCCACGATAAAGCTAAGCTGCTTAGCCCATCTGTTCTTCTTCTGAGGGTAGTCACGAAGGAACTGGAAGAATGCGCCCCGAGCTAGATCTCGTGTGTCTTTGTCGTCATTCGTGATCATGATACCTCCGACATAGTCCAAGGTATCATAAACAGTAGCAGTCTCAACTTTCCTATCAAGAACTGATCGCAGGAAGCTAAATGTGACGTGACGATAGAGGGGTTCTGTTAGGTCGTCCTTAACTTTTCCGAGGAGCATATCAACGGCTGCGTCTTTGATGGCAACATCACGGCGGTCTCTGATGATGACTGACATGAGTTTAAGAGCACTTTGCGCGAGATCTGTTGCAGTCGAAGTAGATGCCGAGATGCATTTCGAAGCCTCTTTCGAAGCTACTTTGTAGAGCTTTGTAGAATCGTCGGTCTTGAACGGGACTTTAACAAGAACGGTTAGGAGCTTGAAAGTCGCTATCTTAACTTCTTCTTCGCCTCCAACGAGAGCATCACCTAATATTGGTATAAATCCTGTGATATTAGCCGCGTTACGAATATCATCGTACTTTTTTAGTACAGACCGCAGAACATCAACGGCAAATCTAACCAGTTTGTATGTATACTTGCTAGTAGTACTACGATCACCACTTTTGTTGGCACCTTTCTGGATAAGATAACGCCGAAGTTTCGGGTCAAGTCTTGACTCTGAGCGCGGCTTGTCGCTTTCATATACCTGCTGAATAACCTCATAACAAAACACTAAGGTATCCCGGCTATCAGCAGCAGAATTACTCAGCAAGCCAGAAGTTATCCTCGATAATAGGTCGTCAATTTTTCGTACCATGCGGAGGTTGAGTTTCTCAAGCAATAGAGACTGAAGAGGCCGAATAAGATCGACCAGGTGGTTAATAGAAGCAGTTCGTGCAATAAGTTCCATCGAATCCTGGCTCTTGCTGCTCTTGATCTCTTTCATTTCACTGACATATTCTTCTGCGTCTTTCTCTTGCCCTACGACGCCAAATATGTCATCCATTATGACGCTAACAATTTTATCGAGGCAATAATCAAGATCTCCCGCCTGGAATTGGGGTGTGACATGAACCAGGATAGTATGCATTGTATACGACAGGACGTGTAGTTGATATCCCTTCGTGAGAGCACCTCTAAGCTCGTCGAGGACAAACCCAAAGTAAGACGGCCCTAGAAGCGAGGTCATGGTCGCGAGTGTACTCCGTGCCATCTCTCTTGAATCCCAGGCCTTGCTGCGCAGGATATGGCAAATATCCGTAAGGACTCCGGGCAGCTTTTGGTTAAGCGACTCGCTTGGTAACACTTTCAAGATCTTTACAATGATGATGCCGACGGGAACACGCGAACTAACCGTAGTTTCATCTTTCTGGTGAATGTACTCCAGGAGAGGTGGTAAGATATTAGTCAAGATGTCTTCGTTCAGCTTCTCGTGCGCCGGCATTGTGGTTGCCAATTTGCATTTCCTCGGTGGCTCTACGGCAGCTATAGAATCAACTTCCATCGCATCTTGACTCTTTTCCGCCGCTACCATCGCGAGTGTGTCCACAAATTTACCGAGAAGTCTGATCAACTGTTTCTGGTGTTCCGGTTTCGACTCCATATAGCTAATATATCTGCGGAGGACGGCACGATACTGTGGCCATTCCAGAGACGAGGCTATATCGGCAATTGTTGTTGCAGCCTGAGCTCCCACACCATGGTCGTCACTCCCCTCCTCTCGGCCGAAAATAAAATGTTCGAGGAGAGGTACGAAGAAGTGAGTTAAGTGTTTGCTATTCAAAGACGTATGCAGGCTAGCCTTGGTTAATAGCTGCAGTGCTCGCATCTGACGTGCTGCTGCAGGACTGAGGATGTTATTAAAGAAGCTTGGGTCAGGGTCACCCTCGTCTGGCTCGGGGTTGATTGCCACAAGATCAGCAATTGGAGGCCAAGACGACATCCGTGATACCAAAACTCCAAATACCTTCACAGTCTCTCTTCTCACGGTCTCTGATGATTCCCGCGCATTAGAGTATAGAGATGGCATCAGGACATTTGACAGCATATCATAGAATTTAGCCTGCTCTTCACCTTTTGAGCACGCAACGGTCTCTATAAATTTGCATAAGCCATCAGCAGAGTTCGCAGACAGAATCCCATACTCCTCGTCGTGCTTGATATAAAAGGTCATGTTATGTATCAACGGCTCCCAGTCTCGTGGCGTGTAGGGTATATCTCTTGCGCGCAGAATGGCATTAAAAGCTGCCAGTCGTTTTTCATAATCTGGTTCATCGACACGGCTGCTGTCGTAAGAATTCAGACCTGCACAAAGTGAAGATAATTCAAGACATAACGGGTCATCTGGGTATAATACTGCCAATACATTTGACAACGCTTGTCGGTTGACACGGTCCTTGAAGAACCCAAAGAGAGATGCTATTGTCGAATAGATCTGGTCTTTCACCTCTGTGCGAAGATCCGCTCCTGCGAGCTTGATAAAATTTTCCAGCATTGCAAGGACCAGTCCCTTAGCTTTGGGATTAACACGTCGTGAGGGCTGATTGAGAAGAGAGACTGAAATGCCAATGAGATCTGTGACATGAGCCGACTTTTGAATAACTGGAGATAACTCCACCACACACTCAACGCATGCCATTAGTAGATCCCGGTTCAGTTCCCCTTTGGATGTCAGGGCCACGCCGATACTTTCTAGTATGACGTTAACATTAGGATCTAGGATTTCTTCTTGTATTAGCTCATTGAATTCGGATTCTATAGCTGGTTGCTGAGAAATTCCGACCAG